AAATTATTTTTCAATTAAACAACTCCTCAATCATCCTACGCGAGGTGATGCTGTACTGGACCTTGTTTGTACCTCTGACCCCGAAGACATATCTGTGCGTGTTATTGATTAAATTAGCAACCATAGACTTGTTTACTTTAGCTGTAATGGTGTGAGAACTACGAGAATCGGATATTAGAAAGGTCATTTATGATTATTCTAAGGCAAGCAGCGGTGTCATCATGAACTCTTTGTCGAACTTTCTGGCACAGTATTTAAGTAAGTGTCACGCATGTCCAGTTAAAGACAATTGGCAATTTATATATAAAAAAGAACTAATATACTGATATGTGAAAACTTTATCCCGAAGTTGGTTATCAACCCAAGTGAGAACTGTCCCTGGTTTTCGCGAAGGGTAAAATGGGTGATCTCGAAAAAGAAAAGACTGTTCAGAAAGGCCAAATTTTCAGGTATACGAAGCTAGCATGACTGGCAATTGTGCGAAGAGTGCGCACGTCTATGCAAAAACGAAATACAAAAAGCAAAATAGATATATTTTTTTAAACCATAACTTGCTTAGCATACTAAGAACAGACCCCAAAAAGTTCTGGCGTGCAGTAAACACCAAAGAAAACAAATAAATTTTCTCTGCTCCAGGAAGGAGACGTGACACTCTCCACTTTTGAATCAGCCTCAAAACTTAACGCCTTTTTTTTGTGAAGTGTTCACAGATGAACTTCCTCTACCTGAGTTATCTTGCACAGAATCAAGTGTTCATATGGATGATTTTAGTATGAACATTGATGGTGTGATGAGTGCTATTGATTGACTACCCACAAAATCAAACCCAGCTAGGGCCAGATGGCCATCTGGCCCTAGCTGGGCTTGATTTTGTGGGTAGTCAATCAATAGCACTCATCACACCATCAATGTTCATACTAAAATCATCCAAATGAACACTAGAGCATACCCCGGGGTATGCTCTAAGCTACTAAAAGTGACTAAAAGTGCGTCAGGCGTTGTGCTTGCCAGCCTTTCCCAGCAGTCACTTGACACCGGTTGTGTGCTGACCGACTGGAAATTAGCCAAATGTAGTCCCGATTTTCGAATCCGGAAACCGAAACTGTGCAACAAACTATAGACCCCTATCCCTAACATCTGTTTTATGTAAACTTCTGAACATATCATCTATTCATCAGTGATGAAGCACCTTGCTACTAAGAATATACTTTTTCCTAACCAGCATGGATTTCAACGCCGTCTTTCATGCGAAACTCAGCTATTTGAACTGATAACTGATCTGCACACCAACAGTCATGCATCCTCGCAAACCGGCGCAGTTTTCAAAGATTTTGCAAAAACCTTTGATGGCGGACCACACAGTCGTCTCATTAAAAAATTGCAATATCTTAAAATTATGCAAAGATAATTACGCGGGCTCGAGAATACCTCAACAACCAAAAGCAAACCGTAATAGCAAATGACATAAGTTCACCCCACGTAAGTGTCAAATCTGGAGTGCCTCAGGGATCTGTTCTTAGGCCACTTTTGTTCTTCGTTTATATAAATGACCTGCATAACAATCTTTCATCAAAAATTCGACTGTTTGCAGACGACTGTGTGGTATACCGTCATATACCAAATCAATCAGATTGCATTGCCCTCCAAAGAGATTGGAATAGCATAATATGCTATGGTGTGAAACATGGCAAATGCAAATGAATATAGAAAAGTTTAAAACGATGGCATTTACAAACCGTTCTTCCCTTCTACATAATGACTACACCCTCATAGATTCAAAATTAGATAAAGTAACGTCATTTAAATGTCTGGGTCTTCACCTAAGTCCTAATCTTTCGTGGAAAAATCATATAGACTACATTCTGAAAGGAGCAAATCAATCTTTAGGATTTACGAGAAGACATTTGTACATGGCAACAAGAGAAACAAAACTAGTAGCGTACACTGCTCTGATTAGGCTAAAGATGGAACATGCATCTATAATTTGGAACCCGCATCAAAAGTATTTAAATGACAGGCTAAAATCTCTTCAAAACAGGGCAACTCGATTCATATTAAAACAATGCGCACCTAAGCGTCACACAACTTAAAGCGTCAATTGGCTTACAAACACTTCAGCAAAGAAGATATCTTGCTGGGCTATCGCATTCCCATAAGCTTTTTCGCTCTTCAACTGAATTTCGCGATAATAACGTCACCCCCCGCATCTTTCCTCGTCATGATCACCCCAACATAGTTCATATTTCTTTCGCAAAAACTAACTTGTATAAATTTTTCCCGCTTCTGCAGGCCTTACTCGACTGGAATGGGTCAGCAAGCGAAATCGCACAGTCAACAAACCATGACACGTTTGTTTCATTGTTACGTGGCTCTTTATCAGGACATCTATTTTTTTTTTCTAAGTAGCACGGGAAAGTTTAATGCCACGATATTTTCACTTGTTAATTTCATCATCGCTGAGTAAGTCTTTTCTATTTTTATGTACCCTCTTTTTTGGTAGCACATATACATTTCTTCTGTATTACTTTTTAATCACTTAGAACTTATTACATGCCGGTTTGCGTGACCATGCACCATGTTACGCGTTATTGAACTCTAGCTTGATTATTTTTCCTTTTCTATTTTCATACAATCACAACATTGTACGACTATGATGACATTCTATTTACCCCCCTCTAAGTAATGCCCCCTATGGGCCTTTAGAGGTAATTAAATAAGTAAATAAAATTGTTGCACTGCCCCTTTAAAATTATGGTTCAAAGGCTCCATAGTGTGATACGCGGAACATGGTAACGGTTTGCTAAAAGTCCCCAATGATATACGCGCGACGAAATGTCCCTACAGCGTGCAGTTCGAGTAACAAGTGTCAATGAAACGTATGTGCCGACGAAACGTGCATCTGTCTCTGGAGAGCGTGTTTTAACAGCTACCCGGCCCACCCTTCACGGCGCTTCGCCGGCGACAGTCTGCAGCAGCTAATTACAAAAATGCTAGCCCACCAAGGCCCACCCGTACATGCCATATCGCAGCAGACTTCCCCCCCCCCCCCCCCCCCAATTCACACCCTTTCTCGCTTACCGGCAGACCAGCAGCATCAATACCCCACGTGTTGCTGCCAGCCAATGATAGGACACCCCACTATATATATCTCCTCGGCTGCTGTGCCGGCTGCCGGCAATATATCCACTTTCTGAAATCTTCCGTCAGACCATGTACTTGTCATGAATTAATAAATAAACCATCCTACATCTCTTCACGTAATGACCGTAGTCGTTCGTTCGATCGTTAACATCACCGATATTGTTTTGTTTTAAAATGCTCTTACTGATATGGGCACTTGGAATTGTTTTCCTAAGCTTACTCCCTTCTTCAAAGTGCTTATAAATGGTGTTTTAAATAAATTACTTACGCATGTCTGAAAGAGCTGGTTTCCTGTTTGCGTCGTCTACTGAAATTGATATAAAAACAAACAAACAAATGAATGACGATGATGGCGTCTGGACCAGTAAGGGCTTCGCCGATACCAGAACGCTTGAAGCTCTGCTTGTTCAGCATAGCAATGACGCAGCAGATACTCGTGGCGTCTGTAGTCACTCACTCGGCGCAGGCTTCGTTTTTGTTCCGAAACTGACCGATGAGCGAGGCTCTTGGGAACAAAGGCTGCGTTCCTTTTAGGTTGCTTCGTCATTTGCAAAAATAGCCGGCAATCTGTCATTTTGAAACGAGCGGAACATCACTATTACGCGTGCATGCGTGTTTGCAATCTAGGGTCCGTTTTTGCTCGTACCAAGTTTGATACGGAGTGTGGTCATCATACAGTATTTTCCAGACTCGTATGCTCGTCACAATAATTTTCATCCTCCAATCTTATTGTTCCTTTGGCAAGCGCTTCGCCTAGCCAGAAATAGCAACATAATCATCCTCACGGGAAGTGACATTGGAGCATGACGAAGTAGACGGCGCCGCTTTTAAGACCGACAATATCGCCACAGCTTTCATTTTTTTCTGTCTCTTAGAGCATTGACAACCGCTATTGTACCTTGGCAGTGCTACCAGTCTGACTCCGTGGGGTGCACTTGGCCGCTTTATATTGTAGCGAAGGACAAAGGATTAGCCGATGAGTTAACTGGAGAAACTAAACATTTAATGGGGCGAACTGGTGCCCAAAATAAAATAGAAGAACGTTAGCGTCGCTGGCGTCGATGTCGGCGAAACAGCAGGACCGAGCACACTGGGCGAAACTGCTTGCGGCTCAACACGCGGAGCCCCTTAAGTACAGGCGTGGGCTTCTAGAACAATGGGCGTAGAAGGTTCGGCGCGTGGAACATTCAGACCTCGAGCAAGTAACAGGATTCTCGATTTTACCAGAACACTAAATTGCAAGAATAAATAAAAAGACTCGTCGCTCCCAGGAATGGAACCTTGGTTCTTCGCGTGGGAGGTAAGCACAACCGTTAGGCAACGGCCGCGCTGCCTACTTCGCCAGCTGCGCGCGGTAATATTGCAATGGCGCCGGTAAATCTCAAATTTCTCACGGACAGGACGAACAGGACAATTTCCTCACCCAATTTTCCACGTCGTTTAACAATTTAACATACCAGGCTATACGGGGCGCAAGTTCGTCTGCCTGTTTTGAAAAGGTTGTGGGGACGTCAGAACGTCGAGCTCTGATTGGCTCTGATTGAAGGATAGTGGGTAGACCTCAAAGCTTAAGCTGCCTTGATGTCTACCTACTATTCTTCAAGCAGAGGCAATAAAAGCTCCGCGTTTTCACGTTCCACAAACCCTGCAAAAGAAGCATTTTTTAGAAAAAAGAAATTCCTTCACGAATCTCCACCCCTCCTTCGGCCTACACGAAATTGCGCAGGATTTGGTCGACCATGGCCCTGGCGGTTTAATTTGTCCTCTCGGCACAGGCTATACTGTCTGCCTAGATGTGAGAAAAGAGTGTGTGGCGTTTCTGAGATTGCTTTTTACGTTTTCATTCTGGCCTCTCGCAGCTCTACGGCGTTCCGCCTCCTGACTACAGCACCGTCACATCGGCGGGTCCGACAGCGAGCCAAGCCGTCCTCCCGCCGCGAACGCAGCCGCTGTCCGCGTTCCTACAGTCGTCGCCGCCCGGACCTTCGTCGGGACAAATTCGTCTGTTGCCGCTTGGGACGACGCCCGCGTTGGCCGCTGGTTCCGGAACACGGAGCACCTCAGTGCAGACATCGGAAAGCGCTCAAGACGTGCAATCCTGAGCGTGCGCCCGTGCGATGGGAACTGGCTCCGACGAAGGAACTGTGTCAGCCAGAACGGACAATGCCAATGGCGAACCCGGTTGGGAAGCCTTGGTCTCTCTGCTCATACATCCTGCAAAAGCATGTTTGCTTCATGTATGTTTTGAACATGTCTACAGACAGCTTTTGTAAGACGAGTGTGACCGTCACACAAGGAAGCCATCAGACAGTGTCTTCAGACTGTCTTTTGTATGATGTATAAGCTGTATGACCATGGCTTAAGAGTAGTATATGCTGCCTTTTGGGACGATTCGTTGATTATATTGACGAGCTTCGACGACGACATCGTCACCGATGACGCACCTCTCTATGGATCGCCGATGGTTTGTATTTTGTTCCTGTGGAAGGCTTTTCACCCATAAAACATTCTGTAGTAAGTGGCCGAGCTGAGGAGAGGAGAAGAGAGTTAATTTTTTCTACTCGGTGTTTGTTTTTTTAGCTATTTTTCTCGTAGTTTGCATACATGTAGAAAGTCAGCCACAGCCGATCTTGAGCAGGAACGGCACCAAGGGGAGGAGAGGGATGGCGGGCGCCTCCCCTAAACATTTGAACTGCCACCCCAGCATAAACGAGCATTGGATAAAGAAGAGGATAAGTTTGGATCCCCTTCATAACTGGACGCTTGTCTTTTCTTTTTTATTTCCGCCGTGAGAAGCAGGTGAACGGCGTACAGCGGGCGAGGAAGGAATGTCCAACATTTTGACTAAAACCCCAAGACTGGGAAGAGAAGGTAATGACAAACACAAGGTCTCAAACACAACAATTGAGCTGTGTTTGGGACCTTGTGTTTGTTCGCCCCTTCTCTTCCCAGTCTCGGGGTTTGTAGTCCAAATGTTTAACCACCCCCTGCTCGTTTGCGCCCTAACCTTTTGAGGAATGTCCCTTGGTAGCATCTTCAAACACGAAGGTAGCTTGCAATGCCTCTATAGACAAGCCAAGCCCGGGGGACACGCGAAGTTCGGATAGTCTACTATACCCGTTTTCACCTGAAGAACCATAGTAAAAAAAATCCGGTTTCTTAGGGAGCATTACTGATTTCCCCCTTTAAGTAGAGAATTAGGAAACATCTACGTGAATTGTAGATTAGATATATGTTATCTTCCTAAGACGTACACGTTCCAAACACCAAAAGCATCGCTTTTTCCTCTGACAACCAAATCTCGTAAGAACTACTTCGTGCCGCGTATGAACAATGCGCAAAACTTGCTTTTTTCTTGAAGTCAAAACGGGTATAGAAGATCTAAGAGCAGGAGGGAGCCCATGGCCATAGGTGGGACGACTGTCTCCTTTAGAGTTTCCTTTCAGTTGACAGGGGGGAAATATACGGTCAGCTGGTTGTGGGAGCAGCACGTGCTCCCCGCTCTTCATTGCATATCTGTGATAGCTAGCAGTGATAATCTTGGTCGAGGCAGCTTAAACCTTTTATACTGACCTGTAAGCTCAGCACCAATAGCTTTCAGCCCGCCACCAAAAAGCCTCTAACGCCGCACTCATGGAGATTTTTAGCCTTCCGTCTGTTGTCAAAACACCCGACTATCGGAGCCTGCCTTCAATAATGCGACGTAGAATCTTCAAACGTCAAGCCCGCTGGCAGCGACCACGTCTCTACTCAGACATTGTCTCCCATTCAATTATTAACGCTTTTCAGATAATAACGTCTCGAAAGCCCATGCCTCCCCAATAATGTGGCGTGCTTCCCCACTGCCTCCCAATCATGAAAAGCCTGGCGCCGTCCCTGATCCTGAGGCCGGAGGGACATACTTTCATTTGTTTTCACTTAAATACATTTTAAGGTCTTAAAAAGGCATTACATAGAGGGGAGAATCTTACACAATTAGGTTTGCAAAATTAATTTTAAAAAAAAAGTTCGCACACAGAGGATTTCCAGATAATTTATGTATGCACGCCCCCTTCTAGCCATCGGAGCGGTTTGTACTTAAGTTACCGATTATGTGGGTGTTATGGCCACGTTGGTTGATATGACAATTTGTTTACGGCTAAATTAGATGATGTTTGTTACTCCAAAATGAATTGGCGACCTCCGCTTCTTCAATAAAAAATTAATTGAATCGAAAAAAGAAATTTCGCGATAACATGGTTCTTTTTAGTCCCGTATAGTTTGTTGAATTAGTCAAATGAACATCAAAAGAAGCTTGAGACGCAGGATGTTTCGTGTGATTTCTGTGTCTCCTTATTGATTTCGACATCCATTGGTATTTGAGTAAAATGTTTCAATTACGTACCTTACAGTCCCGAGAGCTGCCCCACTCCCGAAAGATAGCCCACCTTTATTTTTGGTATGATTTGCTATATTTTTGATCACCGAAATATAGCCCACTTCTAGTAATAGTTAAGAAACTCCTAGTAATAGTTAGTAGTAGGGATCAATGATGGCCTCGGCGTAAACGCGGCTAGTTTGCTATGACGCGATAAAGCGAACGTTGCTGACTGGGAAATCATCCCTGCTTCGTTACCCCTCGCCACCATAACAGGCTTGTAAGGGGCACGACCTAAATATAGGAATTTTAATATTTTTTAAAACTTTTCTCGATTGTACATTGAATGCCCTATCCCAGTCCATAGTTTCAGTCGATTTGCTCTTGATGTGAGGTGGGATATCTCTCGGGATTTTATTATGGTATGTAGTATGATACAGCGTGCCTCCCCCCCCCCCCCCTAAAAAATTAGAAAAAAAATTACATTTAAAATAATGACTTTTTTTTTTTTTTTTTACAAACAATAAACGACGCATTGCCGAACCTTGCCCTCCGCCCAAAATGTAGCGCTAGCGGTCCGGACCAGATGGCAAAGCCAGAACTAACCGTTATGTTATGTTATGGCTCCGTGTTTTCGGATAACTCCGCAAAACGCCCGCCGGCAAAAGTTTGGTCAATTCGGATTTATTCGATTAACTCCGAATGTTTACGTGCCGATGCCCCCCCGCCCCCCCTCCCCCCCCCCCCCCCCCCCCCAAAAAAAAAAAAAATATATATATACTATATATATATATATATATTTTACAATTTGATTAACACGGAGTCAATGGTCCTGGGAAAATGGCACAATAATTATTTTTCGAATCTCAGTCCATTGTCAAAAGGGGTCTTGCCGCTTGTATCGTCGAGGTTGATTCAGGGAAGCAGGTCATTGTACATTCGGGTCACGACAAATGCCACTCTTTTTGTTTCCAGTTTGAGCCATGCGATTTGTGATTTAGAGAAAGGAGAAGGTATGTTTTTGAAACAGTGAAAGCTATGGACCATAAAGATTGTATCAAATAGAGAAAGGGGACAGTTGAAACTATCTATTATATCCTTAACCACTCCACCTCGCGCGGCCGCGGGCTAGATTGATGGAATAGGATGGGATGACTACGAGCTTCGTAGCCACTGCCCCCGGGAGCTCATTGATTTTAAGGTATTGACGTTTATCGAAGCAAAACTTGTGTGCGACTTTTGTCGTGGGACAAATTAATATTACCAATGGCAATGGCACGAACGTCAAATTCAACTGAAGAAATTTTAATCTATACAAGCGCGTTTTATTTTTTATCTGGCATACGTTTACATCCGGTTATTATTTACATGTTTATGTTCAATAGAAAACACTGCGAAATTAAACTCCGAATTTCGGAGAATTGGGAATCAAACAAATATAAACTCGGAATCTTCGGCAAAAAATAAACTCCGAAAAACACCCTCCGAATTTGACGAAAAATAAATTCCGAAAACATGGAGCCCTAGTTATAAGTGATTTTATTAAATAAGAAAGTAGGGCCAATTCTTGCTTGGTAACTGGTGCCACTCAGTTACATGTATTCGGTCACCATTTTCCCACTGAAAATTTCAGAAAATTTTCTATAACTTTTTTCTAAGGTAAACTACACTCCGCGACGCCTTTTCCATAAGGGCGCAGCCATCTTGAATTTCGTCACTTCTGGTATGCGGTAAAACATCGTTTTGATCTCTCCACGCCGCTGGAAGGTGTCTACGAAAAATATGATTGTCACACATCCTTGTTTTGCCTCACCTCTAGTTTCTCGAATATTCCAGGTTGAAATGTTATATTATTTTTTTTTGTCCCGCATACCAGATACAGAACCGACGTGACTGACAACGACATGAAACAAAAATGTGCAATGCAAGCGAAGTGCAACGCAAGGCGAAAAAAAAAGGGCGAGCAATAGTTGCACTAGGAAGGCGATACGAGGCGGTAGGGCAATGGAGGGCGAGGGCAGAAAGGGAGAGCACTAATAATAATAATAATTGTTTTATTAGTACACAATCATTCCCATACATTGATTACTGCCTCACGAAAGCATTTGCGTGCTTGTGTGTGAGAACAGGCCTAGCTGGCGTTGCCTTCACCTGTACTGCACGCAACTCTTTGGCATTTCGTTCGACCTGCCTCGCTAGCGCTGCATTTTGGCGAAAATGAGCGTTCGGCATCCGTAATTTAATTTTTCGCTTTCTCTTTTTTTTTTTTTTGGGGGGGGGGATTTTTTATTTTAATGGATAACAATAAAGTGATGTTTTGTCTCAAACGCCTTTTTTGCGCATTGGTTGGCTGGTCCTTCTGTTTCATCGCCAATCCGATGGCATTAGTAAGCTGCGACGTTGCATAAACTTTATAATAATATTAAACAGAAGCTTATCCACATAGTGAGAAATAGAACAAGAAAAAAAAAGAAACGGAAGCGCAATTTTTTTTTACAAATCGCAGCTTGCGAAAATTGTTTCACACTGTCTTCGGAAGAAGAAGAAGGTAAGGGCAGGAGGAGAAAACAGAGAGGTTAACCAAGGCGGCCTGCCTCGGTTGGCTACTCTGAGTTGGGAAAGGGGATGAGGGATAAAGGAAGGAGGAAAGAAGAAGTAGAGGAAATATAGGTAACATGCTAGCACTCACGTTAACAATGTGCAGAACCAATAATGAAGAGAATGCCGCAGTTTCCAATATGACACTAGAATGAGCTTCTTCAAGGTGTTCCGCAAAAGGCCTTCCGGATACCCCGCGTTGACAAGCCTAAGATTGTGAATATTAAAAAAGTAGTTTCGAAAAAGTGTGGGCATGACTTTGAAAAAGACGACGAAAAGAAGGTTTTTACGATACCGTGTTTAACTGATTTAGAATGATTGCTAGAGAAAAGAGAGGCAAGGGCTGATTGTCCTCTGCTGGAAGGACCAGCATGCATGAAAGGTGGAGGCGAAGCTCTAAATGCTGTAGGCCCTCATGTGAAGGATCCTCTTTGGTAAAACTGAGTCCAGACGAGTTAGGCGTGAAAGCGTCCATGATTTCCTCGGGCGATTCAGATTTGGGTGAATGACAAGGTAATCATCAACAAATCTGAAGACCTTTTTTCGTGCGCCGTACTACCTTCGCTGTGAAACGTACGCGCGTCGTAGGCAGCAAGTTGCCGGCGATCGTTGCCCACCTTGCTGGGTCTTCGGAAACGTTTCTGACGTGCACCGTTGCATTATGGGACATTCCTATAATGACGTCACACATGACCTCACGTGGGACGTCAAGCGGGTCACGAATGACGTCAAGTGTGTGACGTCACCCTCATGACATCACGGCGCCTAAATTTAGTGGAAAAAATTCCCCGCTAAATTTAGCAGAAAATTTTCCCCGCTAATTTTGGCTGAAAACATTTCCTACTAAATTTAGCGGAAAAGTTTCCCAACAGCGGAAAATAATTTAACTGAAAAAATTCCCCGCTAAATTTAGCGGAAAACTTTCCCCGCTAAATTTAGCGAAAATTTTCCGCCAAATGGGAGGGGAGCAGAGGAGGAGGAGGGGCATACCCTCCCCTCCGTACCTCCTCAAGAGCTGCGCTCTAATTCGGTATTACAGAGAATTGTAAGCGTCTACATTTTTTCTATAATTCTCATCACGAATCCTCCTTGTAGGAGCGCAAAGACTCTTTGCGTACGCACGCAATTTCTGAAAAATAGCGTACGTTAAAATAGCGCACGCAAAGCGCAAAGGGTGGTTGGCGTTCTGCGCATGCGCAGTGGCGACGACGCTATTCTTTGCGTACGCAAATCTTTAGCGTGCGCTATTCGAAAACTGCCAAAAATGAACTCAGCGTAACGATAGATCGCAAAGGAAGCCGGGAAGGTGTCACGTGTCCTTCCGGTTGGGCGGAACGACGTGGGGAGCGCAGGACAAGCTACAAACTGTGGATTGGCTCGTGTAGCTCGTAGCGTCCATCGCCAGTACATTAGGGAGTTTTCGTAGATCGTTTTCGCCGTCCCGCAAGGCCTTCCCCAACCCGCTACGATAGCGGGAACTCCACAGTCAAGGCTATCGGCGCGCAGGCGCAGTTGCAACTTTTTCGTTGCGGAACGCTTAGCGGAGGGGGCAACGCGGTCTACGAACACTCCCTATTGTAAGGGGAAACGGAGCATAGTGGGGTGTTACGGGGAGGGGGAGGGTGTAGAAACTGTTGCCGGAGAAGTGATTTACGCAACTGTCCGGTGCTCCCTGTAGAAACCAAAGGCTTGGAATGTGTTCGACTTCAGTGTTGTTGTTGTTGTTGTTTTTTTTTTTTGGAACGTGGTAAAATGCTGCACGTGAGTAATTCCATACGTCTAAATTGGAGTAATTTAGGGATTTTCGACGATGTCCAGCCATTTTCTCACTGAAATCGTACATTTATATTTACCAATTAAAAAGTTAATGACCAAAAGCAATGAAATACCTGATTATCGCGAACGTTCTTATTCCATGGATAGGCAACCTTATTTTTTTATGTTTAGAATTATTCGCCTTCGCTGTGACATATATGAGAGTTTTGTTTCTCACTGTCAAAACATGATCTGTTGCATTTCTTGCAATGCAGTGCGTTGATAGATTTATTTTATCCCTCGAATCCTTTAGGGTTTCAGGATACACGACAAACGACGGTGCTCGAAAACTCAACGTCCGACCGATGACCATCTTAGGAAATCGGATGCTATATGCGGAGATTCAATCGAGGCAGAGGTCATGAGATCAGTGGCTCACACTTAGAAATTGGTCGAGCTGAGTTAACACGGTGGCTGTCTGCATTTATTTCCAATGACGAACTGTGTACCACTATTTAGGCTATGTGCTGCTTGTGGACGCAACAAAATAAAGATTATTATAAACGAGCATTGTTGTGACTAACAAACCATACTGCAAATTTTCTAGTGTATTCTGAGTAACGTCTCATTGATGTGCTTTTTAACAAAAAAATGATATTTTAGACACCGGTTTATGCCGTTGCTCGTAAAATATCCACAGAATATTTCGAAGATAATAATAATAATATTAATAATGATAATGATAACAATGCCTTTATTTATTTTTTCATCACATGATGAAGGGTAGGCCGGGGAAAAGAGTTCTGAAAACAGCTTAACGGGCCTTCCCCCCTTCTCCTACAGTGGCAGAAACATAACAGCTCAAACAAACAAACAAAAGCAAAATAAATGCCTGTTACAAGAAAGCCCTGGCACGACAGATTGTCACAAAAACCGTTACACTCTGCGGTTATTTTACATAGTAATTTCGAAACTGATTCATGGAGAGCGAGTCCAGTTGAAAGTCAGGACTAATAAAGCTGTTAAGTAAATGTGGTAAAGTATATTTTAACGTTTGCAGGCCATAGTTCTATCAGGTACCGTCCTCCAATATTCAGCGTGCCGTGTAGGATAGGTTACAACGTTTCTAGTTAACATCGCGAGAGTCGTCAGGAATTGTGAGTTTCGTTTTAGAGCGCAGCTCTTAGGGGCCCGTTTCCGGCTTGAGCGTCGTCGGCGTCGCCGTCGGCGTAACCGCGAGGTCACATGACCCCCCGAGGTCACGTGACCCCCGGAAGTCACGTGACTTCTGGGGTCACGTGGCCTAAGGGGGTCACGTGACCCACCCAGGTCACGTGACACCCCTAGGTCACGTGACCCCCCGAGGTCACCCCTTCAGGTCACGTGACCCCCAAAGTCACGTGACCCCCTTGAGGTCACGTGACCTCAAGGAGTCACCTATCCCTCAGTATACGCTTCCATCTTCCTCCTCAAGAGCTGCGCTCTAACCGGCGTTACAGGGAATTGTAAACGGCTTTCATTTTTTTTATCTCTTTTAAAACCAGCCGTCAACCTGTAACTGTACAAGTTATGTACGGTTATGACAGCGTATTTTTTGAACAAACCAGCAGTATGAAAGTCATGTGGGGCGTTGCAGATAATTCTAACCATTTTATTTTTAGGCAGGAATATCTCTTCTAAGTTTCCAGCTGAGGTCGTGCCCCAGATAAGGTGGCAATAGCTGAGATAAGAGTAAAAAAGAGAGGTGTAAATAATCAGTTTGGCGGAAGTTGGTAAGATAGAGCGGTTGTGGTTTGCTAATCCGAAACGCAAGATAATTTAGATATTACATATTGTACATGGTTATCCCATGACAAATGCTCTCAGAAAAGATGACTCGTGTCTTAAAGCTGCCAACGATTTCAATGGGCGTTGTGTTTAAGGTGAGGATATTAGTGCATGATACAGCCTTATTTTTCGGACGAAAAAGAATGGCTTTCGGTATGTTTGTGTTTATTTGCAATGAATTTGCCTGTGCCCAAGACTCTAGTTTTGATAACGTTATATTTGCATGGGTTATCAGTAAACCTGGCTCGTCAGCGGAAAAAAATATGCTAGTGTCGTCCGTATAAATGACTAGTTTAACCGTTTGATCTATGTTCACTATATCATTTACATGTATATTAAATAGAAAGGGACCCAGTATGCTTCCTTGAGGGACACCTGTTTTTTCATACTTTTCTTAGAGGAAAAAGCTGAAAGGTAAGCTGTGATTTGAGCGACCATCTTCCTATATTTTGCTTGTAGAAACAACTTTACCAAAAAAATACTAAAAATAATTGTGAAGTATATTTTCAACTTATAACCTTAGACAAGCTAGATGCCTTCCGTCAGTGCATTTCGAATGCCGATTGGAGTGCGGTAGAATGAAACCGCGAAAGGTTTCAATTTATATTTATGAGGGGAAGTGTATTTCTTACAGATATGTGCTTCGAAAGATCCTGTGAGGTTGTGAGCGAAGTATGAGGTCGAGCTTGAAGGTGAGTCTGATTGAGTTATCACAAGTATGCAATAGTGACAGGGGCGGATTTAAGGGGTGAGGGGACAGGGGGGGGGGGGGGCAACTGCTCTTCCCCCCCCCCTTTTTTTTTAAGCTCTCAGGAACACATACTTCAGCCTTTTATGAGTTCTTTTGTGAAATGTCCAATATTAATTATTTACCGTTTCACAAGGGCGGGTTTGTGGGCCCCAGAGTCCAGACACACAAGCCCGCCCTTGAATAGTGAAAACGATCACACTTCCGCATAAAACTGCATTTGTAACCAATCTGAAGAAACGCAAATAACCCACAACAAAGTCTAAAGAACTATCAGAACTCTAGGTTAAAAGTGAGGTGGGAGGAGCTATCATTATTTTTCTGCGCCAAAAACACCAACAAGAACACGCTGTGTCCTGTTCACTCCTGCCCTCCTCTTGCCCGTGTTTTCTTTTCGGCGAACAACAATAATGAACTCCCAAGTCACTTAATTTGAACGGTCATGGTCGATGCTAAAATTACCTTCGATTGTTATGTGGCAAGTAGGGGTTTGTTCCTTTGAGCCATTTAAAGTTTCTATTGTACCCGAAAGTGATCGGGTTTATGTTTTGATTTGATTGGGTCATGAAAAGGATAGTTATTATTCTGCGGCTCCATATTCAACCAAGCACGTCAAACAGACCGACGCGCTGTTTTTTTACAAACAAGTCCGCGTTCGCCAGATAAGAGCAGTGCGTGTGCGCAGACACCAGATTCGCGTCAAGCCTTTGCGCATGCGCCGTGCCGACAGCAGCGCCACCGCAGCGGTGTGACTTCAGAGCCTGCTGGAGGCACGGTCCATTATCTAGTTTGAGTATAAGTTTGGGCCTTGCTGGTATACAGACATAATAAAAGTAAAAACGGCGCGAAGACCATGATAAAATAAAAGGTAATCATTGGGACACATACAACGCTGTGTCCTGTCGGTTACCTTTTAATTTGTCATCGTCTTCGCCCCGTTCTTATTTTTGTTAGTTCAGAAGACGCGGAAAAGAAAACGAACACAAAACACGGTCACCACGTCGTTTGTTGTTTGGTTTCCTTCTGCCTTCTTTGCATTATGAAATAAAACCCAGTTTCGTCTTTTATACCTATGCGATCTTTCACGTACCGTACATCGAATCGTCGCAAAGCCTCAAGCAGATGGGGGAGTTACCATATATTTCCGAAATGGTCTATTTATTCGGCCCACCAGATAGCTTCTTCAGGGGGTGCACCGACCAACAAGGTAAGGGCGGTGGAGGTTTCCCTAGCCGCGGCGTGAACACCTTCCGGTCCTGGGATGAAAGAAGCACCTGACTCTCTTCAGGTAGGCCTTCTCGCAGTTTCCTCCATTACGTCCGATGCGGTTGGCGATCTGGTCTTGCCGGCTGTCCCGTCCGCCGCCCTGGGAGCGCTCTCGGCAGTTGCTGACCACCGTGGCCACTCTCCAGGCGATTTGCCTTCTTCTGCGGCTCCTGCCGCCGCAGCGCATAGCATTCCTGTTCGCCACGCAGTGGAAGTACCTGGAAGAGCGAAGGTGATGTTCCTCGGGAAGGTCTTCACCACGGTCGTTCGGTTACCCGGTCTGAAATATTTTCCTCACGCCATGGTAAAGTTTTCCCTGGGAGTCAACCAATGAGATCGATCGGAGAGTCTTTTTATAAACGGACGTGGGTTCGAAGAAGCCGCCGTTGAGAAAGCATACGCTGGGTGTGTCTATTTTTGAATCTTGCGGACCCGTCGAAAAGATGGACAATTGGAAACACGTTTACTTGAGACCTAAAGACCATATTTGCATCTGCTTAAAGGCCGACGACCAGACTCGATATTCTGCGAGGCAGAAGATCCTTTTCACCTTGAGAGAGGGGGAAACATGCAACGATAGACAGTGCAGAAGTGGGGAGAGGAGGAAGCGAGGGAGAAGTGGAAAGCACGAACTGGGTCGTCGGTCTTTAAAAAAAATTATCAACGTTTCCCGATCTTTTTTCTTTTTTTTTTTGTCTTTTTGTCACGACGAAGACTTTTGTGGTGGAAACTTGAAATTTCCAGACCAGGGGCTCTATATTCATTGACAATTTAAAAAAAACACAGGGCGTGACGAATCCCTCCCGAGTATACTGTTATCGCTCTTCGGCCAATAAGATTGCGGTATCAGGTGATACAAGCGCCGAAGAAAGGTTCAGAATGCAAAAAGCGTGAAATATAATAAACCACGCCCGCATGTGTTTGTCAAGCTGTCAAGGACTATGCGCCGAGAAAGTGAGGGAGAAAAGGAGACGAGAGGGGACGTCAGGAAACCGAGCTGTGGTTGGAATGATCTGTGGGTAGACCTAAAGCTAGCTGCCTTTATCTCCACTGCACTGCACTCGCCGAACGCGTTCGAATGCGAGAGCCTAACGCCAGACGCCGGCTTTCCGCGTTCTCAAGCGCTCGACGATTGCAGTGGATTCAAGGGCAGCTAGCTTAAGGTCTCAGGGCGCCGTTTTCTTGCTCAGTGGGTTGCGCTTGGGCGCTGCTACAAAACGCACGACTCCGACAAATCGTGAAAATTGAAGCGGGCGCGCCCGTTTTGTAGTGTCCTGTTTGGACACCCCTTTAGCAAGGCTTTGCAATCAGATTATGACGCGTCCAAGCGCATCCCAACCGAACAAGATGGCGGCGCCCTGATGAAACTGTGCAGTACAGCCAAAGCCACAGGAGAGAGAGCGTCCCAACCTGTTCAAGAGAAGGGAAAGGAGGAAGAAGAGAGATAGGCTGGGAATCCCAGCCTTTCTCTCCTCTTCCTTCTTTACCTTCTCTTGAAAATGTTGGGACACACTCTCTACCTTGTGGCATTGGCTGTAATGCACGGTTTGAGTTAGAGTGCCTTCATGTTCGCTTGACATAAAGGCACCCTAGTTTTAGTCTCTCGTTTCCTATTTTTCCCCAGTTTCTCGGCGTTGTAGATAAGAAATTTAGTCAGTGAAGTACAGTGTACACCACTGTGAAAGGAGACGGTAGTATGACGGGATCAGCTGCGTGCTTAGGCTCTTTCATCAAACCTTCTAATGGGCGGAACGTGAAAGAAAATTCGAGAGCCTAATATTTTGACGAGTCTTACAGGCAAAAGCATGTTCTTTTTGGCCGTCTGGCGCAACTTTGTACTTCTACGAATTGTCTTTCAACGAACTTCCCGTACCCATTGACGAATGGCCCGTACTCCAAAATGGACGCCCATGCGCCATACCGCTCAAGGATACTGACCTTTTCGGTTACATTTTTAAAAACGAATTCGGTGTACTTTTGTTTGTATTTTTTATTTTTTTTTTTGTTTTGTTTGTTTCAACGGAAAACACCAAACCCTAACTATAGTTTGACGACAGTGCAGAAAACTCTCGTTCACTTACTTGTCACAATTTCGGCAATTGGCGCGGTTCATGCGCCTGTATTGAGCGAGCATTGCTCGTTGGACGCAGATCCCGACCCCAGTGCCCAACGTACGTCCGCCTTCCCTCAAGCAGTCGACAAACTTAGACCAGCTAGTACCGCCACTTTGACATTGGACGGTAGCGAAGTAGGCCAGTGCTACTGCCACTAACAGCAGTATTCGGCCAGGGATCGCTGAAATAAATGTGGAGTGAAATGTCAAGATCGCACAATATAGTTATCAGACTCTTTTTAATATACATAACACAAAACACAGTCTGTCGACACTTTCTGAGGCGTGTTTCTTTCTTGTCACAATTATCATACCCAAAAGTGTATGAAAACATACGTACTTTGCACCAGGTTTTAAAAATAGTTTGGTGCATTTTAGGTAGACGAAACCAAAGAAATAAGTTTGTTCATTGTTTGGAGCAAGTCAGGCTATTTTTTTGTATTTTGTCCAATTAAATAAATAATTAAGATTAATTAATTAACTTTTGAAGTATTTAATTTAGAGCAAAAGTTCCAAGGACAAAGCTGTAGAGCGTCCTCAGAAACATCCAATTCAGTGGCTTTTACCGAGAAACCTTAACATCTATGGGCTTTAAAAAAAGCTTGCGACTTATGAAATAAACAAAAAAAGTGTGACTTTGCGCATGTGCACCTTGCATTGTAGTGGAAAAACGAACCGTGCTAGAGGTTTATTGATAAAAATTTGATGTTTCTGAGAACGCTCTACAACTTTGTCGGTGGAAATTTTGCTCTAAATTGGATATTTCAAAAGTTCAATTATTAATCTTACTTAATTAGTTCATTTGGCAAACAAATAGCCCCAGTTGCTCCAAACGATGAACAAACATATTCGTTTGGTTTCGTCTTCATAAGAGGCACCCAAATATTTTTAAACCTTGACTCAAATTACGTGGAACACCTTGTAGATCTCTATGAAGCTAACATCCATACGTCAGACTTTCTTGACGCTTGTCCGCAGACAAATCTCTCATTACGTCCTCGGACGACACCGTGCTTTTTGTATGAGAGCAATGTGACTTCGGCTTATCTAAAAAAAAAAAAAAAAAAAAAAAAACTAATAATTACTAGAGGCGTTTTTTTTGTTTTTTTTTTTGTTAAGGAGGTGACGTAAAGCGATAAGAACTGCCACGTTCAACAGAGCCGGAAAAATTCACTAAAAAGAACTAGGATAAAAGTTAAGGTCTGGACAGCTTACCCATGCTTCTGCCTGGAATCCTTGAACTAAACAGAAAACATCCAGGACCAACTTATATGCGCGGTAAAGAAAAGTGAGGAAATGTTGAATCGACGGACGTGCGTTACATTCCTATTGTGTCGAGATATTTTTGTTGTGTAAGTTGTCTTAATCACGATGACATCTCTATGACCAATTCATTTTATAAAGGCCACAAATACACTTTGGTACTGTTGACATACCTATAGTTTTGTTATTAAAGGTTATTGTTTTCTCTTTGCCCACGTTTTTAACTTGTGTCTTGCACAAGGTAATTTAACCGAACTATAGAAATTCTCGGTAATCCTATTTCTAAAGCTGGTGACTCCACTTTAGTCAATAACTACCGTCCTGTCTCATTACTATGCAGCTTTGCAAAAGTTTTTGAGGAAGTTGTATTTGGGCGTATCTAGTTTTAACTGAAGACGAAACTATTTCAACATGGTTGCTTGAAAGGAAGGTCCGTCGAATCAAATTTATGCTCATCGGTGACTTGTTCTGGCACCAATAGTTTCAAAGTGAAGACGAGAAGACGCGATTTATTTCGATCTTCCTATAGGCTTTGATTGAGTTAATCACGAATTATTATAACATAAGCTTGTTCTGCATGGCTTCAGTCAGCACCTATGTGCGCGTGGTTTAATAGTTATCTTAGTAATCGTTATAACTCCGTTCATGTTTTTTAGTAGCTGCTCTGATGAGTTCATTGCAAGTTCCGGTGTGTCGGAAGGTTCAATCTAGGGATAGATTTTGTTCCGTTTGTTCATAAACCATAATTGGTATTGTATTAATGATGCAAGAAGGATTTTGTCTGCTGATAGTGTAAAGTTTTTCCTAAGTTTCCATCTTCAAGCCGATATAGATTTTATTTTTAAATGGTGCTGGGGGAAAACTGTTTGTCACTTAAACCCAGAAGACGTCTGTCGTGCCTTCTGCACCATTCTACACGACTGAGGGAGGGTATCGCAGAAGGGAAAGCAGAATAAGTGTTTGGAGGCTTTCCTTTGCTTTCCCTTCTCTAGAATGGTGCAGAAGACGCGACAGGCGCCGGTTTGCGCGGTGTCGTAGTAGCAGTTGGTTCCTGCTCTGCAATCACCCTTCTGCGCGCTGCCATGTTTGTTTACTGAGGTTTTGGACGGCGCGTTCTGAGCATGCGCAGTACTCTCCTGCGGTGTATCAGACGCCGCGCGCGCATTCGTACCCAATGACTCGGCATTTGTCGCCTGGGTGATGAGAGCAGAAAAAGTGGATACAAAGTGTTTCTCTGTGTGTATACCTGCAACATCCTTTTTTTTTCTTTCTTTTTTAAAAACCACTGCAAAGAGAAAAAAAAAAGATTAAACAGCGTAGTTGGGACACGCGTGTCAAAAAAATAATTTTACGCGATTTTTATTTTATTTTATTCGAGCAATATTGACGGCGCAAGACGCGATTTAGTCGGTAGTCATTTCCTTTCCACTCGCTTTCTCTCGCGGCATTTCGGGCGCGAGGAGGAGGGTTGGATCAGCTTGGCAATCACGTTGAGGTGGAGAGAGTGTCTGACCATCTCGCTGAGGTGGTAAGAGTGTGTGACCATTCCGTGACGTCACGACCTTGCGCGCAGAATTTATTATAAATTTCGCTCCGCCAATATTGCTCTAATTTATTTTTTCACGTGAAATTAATTTTTTGACACGAGTGTCCCAACCAAACTGTTTTTAAAAAAGCTTGTTTTTCTTTTCAGGGGTTTTTAAGGAGCTTGCGCTAGTGTTTTTTTTAGCCCTGAGGCTAAACTGGGAGTTATGGGGGTCTCTAGAAAAGAAGCGAAACTGGTTAATTACAACCCAGGAAGGCTTCGAAAGAGCCGGTGTTATGTATTTTGTTACATCCGGGCATTTCACCAAATTTGGGGGGGGGGGGGGGGGGGGTGAAAGTGGGAGAGGGTCCGACCTTTCTCGACGTTTGAGCAGCCCTAGGTTGGTACAGGACGTTGGCTGTACCGAACAACTCCAGCTGCTGCCGCTATGAAGTGGTTTGCGTTTTTAGAACATGTGGATACTCTGCAGGTTCAGTCTGTTGTGCTGTGTCCATGTTAATTATCGGCTAGCGTATCTTCGTTCGGTGTTTTCGTAAACCTCTTTCCTCCCTCCGCTAAGCTATCCGCAACGAATATATCGCTACTGCGCCTGCGCGCCGCTAGCCTTCACTGAAAAAAATCCGGATCTTGTAGCGGATTGTGGAAAGCGTTGCGGGACGGCAGAAACGACACAACTCACCGATTACGTCAACGGACAGTATTACCCTCAACTGCCCTGAATTGTGCAGTTCTGAATTCGAAAAATTCTTGCTTGGCGTTTGTAAAATGCCGTGAAAACTTTTTTTTTTTTTTTTTTTTTTACTTTGGTGTTAGAAACATTAAAATTTAGAACGTGGTTTCTTACGTGTTCACAGACAAATGTGATAGAACTTTATTGGTCAAAGAAGCGCCGTTACATCGAAATGAGCTGCTTTACTTTTGTTTTTAACAACTTGTACACAAACCACGCTGCCGTCGCACCCGTGTCACTTTCCGAGTACCACCTACGCGTAAACATAACAAGAAGTTATTTCGGTTACAAATAGACCACGACACACACCTGCGATAATATAAACCCTCACGCTAACAAGCAATAAATTATGGGCGGATTCGTTAAAAAAATATACAAACAAACAAATCAGTCGTTATTGTTTAAACAGCAGGAGTTTAGTCTGTTAGAACATGGCGACATTGTTACCCACTGTAGATAAGCAATAGACCTTTTCCGAGAAGCGTTCTGCACACGCGCGAGCGCCCGATGCCAAGCGGCGGAAGTCGGAACGAAAAATCGAGGAAATTCGGAAGGAGGCTGTATATCAGCGAGTAGAGCACGTAACGGCAACATATATATAATTGTGTTACACAAAAAAAAAAAAAACGTCGAAGGAAAGGAAAACACGACGTTTGGGTGGACGCCACGGATGCCCCTCTTTAAAGGGATACTTCAACGAAATTTGAAATATTCCCGTCGTGTTCAAAAATAGGTTTAATATGATCCACAATATCCGTAAATGACAATCGCACGTTTGTATTTTGATCCTGGTGGCTGTATTTTTTGTTATAAACGGCCCACTCTGGCAAGCGCTCGGAGAAGGCCAGCTTAGAGCACGTGACATCCAACGCAATCGTGACGTAGGTGTTCTCAAGACGAGCAAAGCTACGGCGAGGCTGACGTCGAGAGGATGGCCTAGTCGTTCCAGCCACCGAAGCGGCTGCTTTTGTTCGAATTTTCAGTGACGGGTTAATCTTCTATAATCTTCTAGGGGGACAATAGCGACTTCTGCGACACACAAAAGGGATTCTCAGGAAGAGAGGAGTTCCTCCTTCCCCCCTTCTCTCGTCGTGGCCGGAGACGAGACAACCTCCGTCACTAGCTGTCAAGGTTCCTAGACGAGCATTACAAACGAGGCGTTAGCGACATCCACCAGGTGCTCTTTGCTAATCGTTTAATTCGTTTTAAAATTCCTTTTCCAAACTTTTTTAACAAGATATTGGTATGTTCCATGTGATACTGCTCTTTTGAACACATATAGACCAAAAAATGAGCACCGAAATTTGGTTGTAGTATCCCTTTAAAGTCGCGTTGGGCAGGCGCCTCTGCTCAGAGAGCGAAGAAACTGGTAGCGTAGCTTCCGTTATCGATTGGTAGCGCAGCTAGGTCACTTCCTCGATTTTTAGTTCGTGCAGCCACCGCCTGGTGCCGTCGGTATGTGGAAAAGGTCCATGTAGCAAGTGCAGTACTACTGCTAGCCTGGGGTCCTTAATGTGAACCACGCAGTAGGGATACACGACCGCACGCCATTACGATGCTCAAGATTGAAACGGGCAGGGGTGGGGATTGAACTGCGAATATTTTATACAACAGCAACAAACGCCAAAGCACGCTTATTTCTTCTTCATTTTAATTCAGACTTTCTACACATTATAGTTGCTAAAGGCCTAAATCAGTACGAACTCTATCTTGCAAAAATCAAATGCAACAGTATTAAATTTTCGCCGGAGACGACAATCCGATTACACTGTTTACAAAAATGTACTCACTTTTATTATTGTTATTATTATTATTTGCGTGGCAGGTGACCGCAGGATTTTACCGGGTTAGTCTCGTTTGTCGGGTATAACGTTGTACGATAAAATGCGCATCTAAATTCGCGCATTTTCGCCTGATTTTGCCGAATTGACGCGATTCTCAACCGTGTTTGCACGCCAGCCGGATGTTAAATACTACCGTCTACGAAGCGGACTTCGCTGTGGGGGTGAATCGGACGCGCGTGACAGCGTCTGACCACACTCGACGACGGCGGTGCCTCTTATTTCGCTGAGATATATACGAAAGCAAAGTTGTGCAGTCAACTGCGAAACACTGCGGCATCGTTGCAGCCAGTGGACACACTGTGAGCAACCAAAGACCGATCCACACGAGCCTTCGCGCAGATGATGCCCTTCAAAAATATGCAGACGATACCCAAACCGTAAGTGACTTTCGGTCCGTGTCATGTCGGAACAAAGCGGCTATCAAATAATTGTAAACCTTGCGTGCTGTCAGGCTCTCGCAGAAATAACTTTTGGAATCTGCGCAAAACTGTCTTAAAATTACTCATTTCACTTGATTATAATATAGCTGTAATTTAAAATTTACTCAAGCTCGCTTATGCTATTCAAAGCCGGCAGAGGGATTCCAGGGCTTTGCGGATATGACGTTCCCGGAAACGCTACGTTGTGGAAGACAACATGGCGACGCGATGAGCGAAAGTTCCGATCAACTGTTTTCTATAAACACAAGACATCTCCTTTTACACTGCATAAAACATGGAGATCCTTGACATCCTTGTCGAGTCATGATGCAAGGGTTCACAGAAAAAAGTGCCAACGATAGGACAGCATTTTGGAGGAAGAACGCGAAAACCGTTCCAGGAAGGTAAAAATGCAGCCTTTTCTCCCGACTTGCTGTCTCTCTTCAACATCGTTGGCAGGTTGCTGACGGCCGAAAGGTTCATCCGCATATCGTTTCTTTCATGTACACGCGCACGGAGGCATTTAAGCGCTTCCTTGCTCGCAACGCCGGTAGCTGATTGAGTGCGCTTTCGCTGCCAAATGTGACCTCGCATTCGGTGTATCCCAACCCTCCAAACTGTAAACACTCGCCGCCACGCAGGTTCTGGCCATCTTCCAAAATCGTGGTCTCTAAAATCTAGTTCCTGGTTAGTCAGAGTAACGCCTGTGGTTCTTCCTTGTACCCTTTGAACGATCACGTAGCTAGCAATATGCTCCAGTTCGCGTGTGTGCTGCGTGGGCATAAAGGCGCTGAACGAATCGCAATAGGCGACACTCGATTTGAGGACACGTACGCATCAAATGTTTGGCGCGAGTCCTATTAAAGGTATTAGTCTGGATACCTGCCTAATGTGGACTGCTTGCTGCGAGAAACTACGCCAGAGGCCTCTTTTTTTATGCGGCTTCGACCTTGATCAACTCGGCGTAGAAATCCACGATGTTGACCTCTAATAATTCCTAATGTCGTGGTTAATAGGTGTCATGCTGGGAATGTCTGGGTCTGAAAAAGCTGTACGCATGTCACGATCATCTATAGCAGCTGCTAAACCTTATATTTGATGTCAGTGCTTCTGTGTGCTTCAACATTGGCGAAAGGTAGTGTGAAATATGACGTGAATGGTGCACACATTTCGGCTTAAGCGATTGCGGGACATTTTCATTTCTAACACTTTTGCCTCTTGATTTGCTATTAGACTTGCTGGCTTTGGGACAAAACGTCTTGATTACACAAACTAGAGTTTACAAGGAGAAGAATTGAAGAGAGGATTTACTTGACTGTGCTTTCAACTTTGAAATAGAGAAAAAAAGAAACAACAACAAGATATATGACACATTTTCTAATTGTACTAGTGGAATGCAAGCTGATAAGACTTTGGTTGAAAAGTAAACAGTAACCCATACTGACTTCTCCAGTAAAGTGGACATCATTCTCTCATACACGAGCGTCAACACAGAATGGAAGGGATCATGCGTGTCTTTATGAGAAAGTTTAATTTTATGTAGTACGTCAGAATTCTTGGCTGTGTAGATACTCGCGTGCCAGATGACAAAAAAATCTAAAAAAAGTAGACCTCCTTTCCTTTTGGGGTTTTTCTTTTTCAAAGTAATGTTGCATTTCTTTTTCCAGTATCAAACCAGTTTATGGAGCCTCACATCCACCAAGAAAGGACACTATGTAAGTGTTTGCTGCTTGTCAATTTCCTTTAACAAAAATATTCTAAACTGCTGAATGTGTAACCTGTTCTGGTTCTATTTCTCAAATGCCTTACAAGATGTGCACACCATGGAGCGTAACAGGTTGATCTGTACTGAGACACCCGTCTTTCGTCAAATAAAGATAACAAATACTATGTGAAAAAGTGCACTTGTGTGATGCAAACTCGTTTATCTGAGTTACACCGAGTGGAAATGGTACCCATTTGTTTGAAGCCAAGCCAGGTGTCAAGACATCATAAAAAGATTGTCACATTGTTGCACAATATTTTTGTTTGTATGGTGCCCGTGTACTTTGCAAAGGGTCATCGAATTAGAAAAGTATGCATTTCTTATTTCTACAAAAAGTTTAGCTCAGTATGTCAAGATCAAACCATAAAGTTGCGTATGAAAAGAGGCTCTGTTCTAAACCTAGAAATGCTCGTGATACCAGACTTGGTCTGCTGTTTCATATTTTTTTCAAAGTGAAGCAGAGATACTGTAAAACCCTTATTGTTCGCGAGCCCTCAATTTTCGCGAATTTCACGAATTGAAGAATTCGCGAAATTTAAGGGCACGCGAAAATTTCGGTCTTTAAGATTTTTAATGCAGGCGTCTGGAATTCGCGAAATTTAGTGGTCGCGATTATGTCATCTGTGACCGATTCGCGAAAAATAGGGGCCGCGAAAATAAAGGGTTTTACAGTACATCAATGTACATAGTGTAGGTCTAAACCCTCTCTTAACCACTACTTGTTGTGACAACAAAACATGATTAGCGGAATGGTCGACTTCAAATACTGGTTGTGTTGCAAATATTTTGACATTTTCATTAATAGTTGTAGTAATGTGATGTAAATAATCTATTCATATAATCTTTATGACTGAAGCATAATTTCAAGCTTTACTTAACAGTGACATAAAGTGCTTTCATGCAGGGTTGTGGTGTAATCTTTTCTTGTTTAACTATGGCCTTGGGAAGTGCAGAAACCAGAACATGACATTTTTGTGACGTTTCGGTGGTGGTTCTGGGCTGTTTTTTTAAGCAGTAAGGCATCTGCTGTTTGTGCGTCCTCTGTAGTTTTTCCTAGAACCAAAGTGCTTATTAAAGCACCGTGCTCATGCTCGTGAGGTCAGTCGCATTGCTTTAAATTATGCATTTATAGGTGAAACTTTAAATGCGTGCAAAGGCTAGCTCATGCATTTGCGTTTGAATGTGGCCGACTGTTTCAACTGCTTACGAGTGAACACACTAGCGCCACCTGTCGGTTAGCCCTGGAACACTTCCGATCTGTGCATATTTCCTAATGTTTTACGCACCATTCATTTACCATGGGCTTGAAATAATCCTGACAATGTTATAAGCATTAATTTCTCATACATAATGCATAAATTTGATCTCGTAAATGCGTCAAAAATCTTCGGTTTAGCTGTGAGCCAATCAAAAGGGTTGCAGGTTTACCTGATAGGTGGCGCCAGCAGGCCAGTGTACCCAGAGCCGTTTATACTGAGAGAGTTTGGCCAATGGGTGGAGGTTGTTGCCAGCTAGAACCAGTGGATTTCGCGATAACACAAAACGGCGTTACTTCTTTCTCTTCTTTATTCATGCGGAATCGCATGGAGTTCCTACGAGTCAGAGCCCCAAAATGGCGGACGGAAGTAGTTATTCCCCGGCTGTCGGACTATGCTGCTGTGGTGTCCGGACTGTCTAAACCTCCTTTTGAAGGCCAAACTCTCAGTATAAACGGCTCTGAGTGTACCTTTTCATTGTTGGGGTCATCACTGGTAGCCGCACAGTCTGTCGCACTCAAATGCAAGTCAGTGAACCAGCCGTAACACTAGCTTTTAGTTTATGACACCGTCATACTATCTCACTACCGTTGCTGCTTTTCTCCGCTTATTTTATTCCATTTTTGCCATAGAGAAGCAGGTTCTATGTGGGAAAACCACCACCGATGTTTTCTGGCATGTGCTCATTGCCTGTAATTATTGTTAAACAGGGCTTAGCCTCCTTTAAGTTAGTACACTGCTTCATAAAGTGCTACTTTGCCGGAAAAATAACCCTGCACTTCAAAGGAATTTTGTTCTTGGGTTGTCGTTGCAAGCCCTCAAAAATCTGTTATTTTGCCTAGGCCTTCGACGCCGAAGAAAGATGGCCACACCAGTAAGCACAGGAGAAATACATCATCGAGTTCATTCAAAGATTTCCAGGAGAGCACGGACGACGCTTGGGACATTGGCGACGACGAATTTTGCGTTGTGTCAGGTAAAGTTCATAAATGTGGCTGGTGTAGAGACCTTGTGGCATGTAGATAGATCTTCTAGACAAGTATTAAGGTGTACAAGCATTCCTTAGATGGCTCACAGGTAACGTGTCAAATATATGCCTTCAAGGGTTTTCTCTGTTTCTGATACACCCTGCCAGATAGTTGCGGCAGGCTGGATGGAATGCGGTTGTATGCTGCACGACACCGTTAGCATGAACACGACATCGGCAATTTTTCTCATTTCGCTTCTAAGGGGTTTGACGAGCATAGATTTTTACCACTTAGGTTGGTGACCCAAATGAGCATCTTCCATTGCACTAGCGGTTTTTATGACAGAGTTTCACTTCTGAGACAAACAGAAAAAAAGGCAACCACTTGTTTGCATTAACAGTGTCGTGCCACACACATTGTGCTTCCTTTTGTTCATGACTGGGCGAGTCTGCTAAATGGAGGACTAGCTCAAGTCATAGCTGATCAAAGGCAGCGGTTCACTAGAGCAGTCGTTGGGCATTAGCTACAGATGGCTCTTACTTCCATGGGACTGAAGAAAGCCTAGCGCCTGTTTGAATTCATAAATTCTGTCCATCGAGACGCATTCGCTGCATGTATTTGTTTTATGAAGTGCGGGGACAGAGATATGCTTCATGCTTAGCAGCAAATAGGACACTGAAGTGGTCTTGAAAGTTTAATTTTATTTCTTTATATGTAGCAGAGGCATCTTAGACAGCACTGTTCCAAACAGGTGATTCCTTTCCCCTCAACATATACGCGAAATTAACCAATCGCATCCGCCATTGTGCATAAAGTGGGAAAGAGCTAAAACATACGCGTGACGTTCCAGCCTCAATGCCGTGCTGTCTCTAGATTCTCGGCACTAGTTTCGGTTTCAATAGTTACTGCTAGTTTTCATAGGCTGTATTTTATAAACAAATATGTGGCTAATACTCCTAAGAGACATTGGATTGTCAGTACATTCAGTCTCCTAGAAATGAAAAGCACCTTTGGAAAACTCTTTGAATTGCCCTTGGTATTCCTCTCACATAAGACTTCAAGCAAGTTGTGGCCAGGCAGTAGAAGAAAACATAGGTGTATATCTTTATACATTGAATCTAACTGAATAACGGACTAAAGAATTCCTGGCTGTTAGAGCACTGCAAAGCTGATGAATTAATGTTTCAGCCGTAGTTAAAGCAGGAACTTCACTGCATCATCTGTGCTATGCAGTGACGTCGGAAAAAGTTGCACGGTCAATGTGTTGTTCGTAGAGGAACGCCAAACGGGGCTTGCGGACGTTGTCCTTGCAGACGTGAAGATAGTGTCCAAGGTGGTGCAGTCAACGGCCGACTCGGTGATCACCAACCACAGCAAAGCTCAGAACTCGACAGAGGCCGCAGACGAACACCTGCCCTGTGACCTTACGGATGGCTGCTGCTCGGCTGAGAGCCGGGCTGCTGCCATGCAGCGACTGGCCATCCAGAAAGGTCAGTTTTGCTTTGTCTTGGATTGTGGTCTCCAGGGAGGTCTTTGTCATTGGCTTATCTGAGACTGGCCATCCAAAAAAGGTCTGTTCGTCTTGGCGCGTTTTGGACTCTGGCCATCCAGAAAGGTCTCTTTGTCTTTGGTCTGCCATAGATTCTGACCATCTGGAAAGATCATTGAAGGAAAGCCTGAGACTAGGACAAATAAAATAACAGACAGCATGACACAGAATCTCAATTTTATTTTATTTGTACCAGTCTCAGGTTTTCTTTCAATGGTGTTTGCTAACCAGCTTGCCTGCATACTTTCCCTCCTTGCAATTCATCTGGAAAGGTTCCTTTGTCTTTGGCATGTCCTGGGTCCTGACCATCCAGAAAGGTATGTTTGCCGTCGAGCATGTCTTGCATGCTTATGTTGTGTGTACGTGCAGTTGCCAGAATGTCAAGCATCACGCACCACGTGCAAACAGTGTGCTGGTTCCGCTGGCTGGCAGTGATAGCTATGCTTGATCTCAGTGGTTGATAAAGGAGAAGTGTTGGTATCATTGCTTAGAAGAATAGGAATCTGCCACGCGGTACAGCCGTGCCGTTAACTCAGCGACACCATCAATGCGTGCCGACGTATTCTGCCAACCTTCACATCATTTAGCTCTACCGGCTCGCCCGGTTTCACAATGGCTGCCACAGACTAATCGGCGATCTCTTTTTCGGTCTTCATTAGACGGGGTCGGTGCCCCTGAGCATCGTCCCACCCTCCGTTGTCGTCGCCCCCTTTCGAGACGGTGTTTGGGGCGGTTGCAGGCTCGGGCCCCGTCTCGGCCCCGGAGTCCTCGTGCCCCCTGCCGACGGGGCGCAGCGGCCCCTACGGCTTCGGGCCGGGGGTGGCGGTGCGGCACCACGGGCAGCACCCCGCGGCCAACCTTTCTCCCCACCATTCCGTCGCCCAGAACCTCCTCAGTAGCCGGGCCATTCTGGAGAAGTTCCACGGCGCCCTGCACAGCTCCAAGACGGACCTCGGTAGGTGGACACCCCGGGTACAGTGCCTGGAAGGCGTCTTCGACCGGTGTGCTTATCGCGTCTTCAAGTGTTGTCCCTCGATTTCCGCCGACTACGTCGCAGAAGTCTCACGCTGTTGCCTGCCGCGATCCTGGCGACGGCAGAGCAGCGAAGGTAGACGCGGCAGACGCCTGCTCCGTTGTAGTTCGCTCTGCTGCCGGACAGTTCAGGAAAGCTTAGACAGCCAGGAGTTGGGACGCCACGATGACAGTGACCCTTGCATCCACTCGTCTTTCTTGGCAGCATTTCTACAAGGAGCCGCCGGGATCGCGACATCTGACAGCACGACATGCCGGCTGTTTCCCCTGGGGGTAACAACCCCCCAAGGGCAACACTGATGTTTCTGTTATAACTACAGCCGATAAAAAAAGTTGCCCTTGGAAGGCAAGCCCCCCCTCCCTCCCACCCTGAGGGCAACCTTTTTGGGAAAAGAACGACACACGCCAGCTTTTTTTTGTTAAAAAGGAATGTTTGGTTTTTGGTGAAATGGCAAATATTAGGTCAACACTATAGACCTCGGCAACGCATCGCCCGTGACGTCACATCCGTCCGTGATGTCAGATCTTTCTGCAGACCCTCGAGCCTGACCTATAAACCTGCCCCCAGTGCCCAGTCTCAGTTTCTAGAGTGTCTTCTTTTCGGCCAAGTCTTGGCAGCAGTGAATTACATTGCCGTTCCCCTTTTCAGACTCGCTTCGCTCTCTAAGTTGGAAGGGAATCCCCGCTGAAGTTCGTCCTATCACATGGCGACTCTTGGCGGTACGTCACTTCGATTTTCGCAATCGTAAGACTAGGAAACAAAATTGCATGGGATCCCTTTTCCCGACATTATTTGTTGGAAAACATTCGTAGGATTGTAGTGTAGTGGACAAGAGCGCAAAAGACACGGACAAGTAGAAGAATAGGACAGGACAAAGCGCTTTTGTCCTGTCCTGTCCTGTTCTTCTACTTGTCCGTGTCTTTTGTGCACTTGTCCTCTATAATGCATTACCAACTAGCCCAGCAGTTAATTCTTGTAGTGTAAGTCGGGAGATATTCTCGATTTCTTTTCACTTGCCCTAGGGTGAAACTTAAATGTTGGGTATATATGAAATGTTATGCCACATTATACCAAACAAGCCCTCTCTGTCGGCTTGTTTGAAAGTTCACAAGAAACTGAGGTTGTCCTCAGTTTCCTATGATTTGCCATGTCTACTTCTGACTGACCTTGATTTGCAGCATGGTTGGTCATATTTATTTATCGCACTTTTAAAGGCTTTGGCAGGGCATTACATAGGGGGGCAGAGAACACAAAGAGTAAGTAAAGCACTCGCTGTCCACTATACTGCCAATACTGCCAACATTCATATATGAAAATCAAAGAACAAAAGAATATGTGATGTGAATACAACAAAGAACAGAAATAAAAAAGAATACCGTATTTACAACCATAATTAACATTAATCAGATAACTAGAGGTCATGATATCATCAGAGCTAGTCCCTTCTGGAAACAGTGAGGTTGATGATTCATGAAATAAGATGGTGTCAGCAACATCTACAAGATAATTGGGTATGATAGGGGCATGCTTTCATTACAATTTTTATTTTCTGGCATTCTTTTTTAGTATATCTCGGCAGTTTATTGTATTGCAGTCCTAGGATATTTTTTAGAACACATCATGTGTTCTAACTGCAGTAAAGACTGATAGCCTGTTCTGCTGTTGCTTTCATTACAATTTCTTTTTATTTTCTGGCATTATTTTTTAGTATATCTTGGCAGTTTATTGTATTGCAGTCCTAGGATATTTTTTAGAGCACATCATGTGTTCTAACTGCAGTAAAGACTGATAGCCTCTTCTGCTGTTGGCTTGAGTGAACACTGTTCCTTCATCATTGTTTTGTGCAGGGGTATCTGCCAGCCAACTCTGAAAGGCGGGCAGCCGTTCTCGAAAGGAAGCGTGAGGAGTACTTTAATTTTGTGAAGCAGTATTACGACACACGGAATGAAGACATCCACCAGGAAACCTACAGACAGGTAAATTGCTAGACGACACAAAAGGTCCTGATGGTCGTTGCGTCTGCCTGTTTGTTGGCGTAATTACGACGCCAAAGGAGTGCTGCACCCATTTTAAGTTGCAATTTAAGAAGGATATCATGTGCCAGAGAAAAATGCATTTCTGATGGTAAATCTTAAGATGGTCTGTGTGTCTAGAACAAATGAATCAAGCCCTCTTAATTGCCTCTTCCTGGAGGAGACCATGAAATGCATTTTATTAAGCTTTTTTATATAGACAACTGACTACAGCTTTGCTGTGTTTTTAACTAACAAAAATTTTTTTCTAAAGAACGAGGCTTGAGTTGTCTAAGAATTTGTTTCCAATCACAAATTACTTTTTGGCAGAGTTCTTTAAGTAACACAAAGCTTGACAGCATATTCATGAGTACACACACGTGTAGCTGTACTTGATTATCAGCTGCAGGGCACTCATGAACGCTCTAGGTTGTTTTTTACTGCAGTCCATAATTGTTTGTGATCGTGCTGTTTTATAGTCCAGCAGCTGATTCCTCTTCTGCACCACTAGGCAGATGTTGCACTCTTGTTGTTTACTTTGTGGCAGCTAAAACCTTAAACCTGCCCTGCATTGTGCCGCTAACAGAAGCCCTACCAGTGTCCAGATAGGCAGCCGTCTTCTTTTGCCGTTCTAGATACACATTGACATCCCTCGCATGAGCCCCCTGGTGCCATTGTTCCAGCAAGAATCTGTACAAAAGGTGGGCTACACTGATTTCAGTCTCCAGATGCTTGTTACCGAGTTTAGATAAGTGCCCTGAATTCTAGCAGAAGTGGAATTTTCATTTTACAATGTTTCTTTTGGACAATTTGACTCAATGAATCGGTGTTTCTTTCATAAAAGTTAGTCCAATCTTTATCAATCCGTACAAGGGGCAAAACAGCATAAAGAAGTAAACAGAGGTATACAACACAGCAGAGGTGCTCCAGTGTAGAACATAGGGGTCATACTCTTCCTGGTCTAGTTGGTTGGGGGGATTGCATATTCTTAGGTATGCAATATCGCTGTAACCATAACGTCTATTGCAAACTCTGTGGTACTTGCATTTAAGATACCAGGAATAAAACACTGACACTGGTACTGACTCATTAAGTTGCGTAGGGCCACGTGCGACCTCAGTAAATCTAATGCCACTGGCCCCGCTTGGAGACAACTTCAGTTTGTTTTTACGATTTATACTTTCACACGGGAAAAAATCTGGCCTTCTTACTGTGGTGTGAAACGAAACATATGGGGTGCTCAAAGGTTAATTTCCGAGTTTGTTCCGTCCCGTCAGATATTTGAGAGGATCCTGTACATATGGGCCATACGACATCCTGCCAGTGGCTACGTCCAGGGCATGAACGACCTGGTGACACCCTTCTTCGTCGTGTTCCTACAAGAACATGTTCCCCAGGGTAAGCGTGTGATACGTGGAACCAACATCTGCAACTTCATGAACTTGGTGTGATTCTCTAGTGCAGGGGTGGCCAGGCTGACCCGGCCTAAGAGCCGCAAACATAACCACTAAACTTCCAAGAGCCGCGGGGGTGGAAGGGGGGGGGGGGGGGGTGCAAGGCACACTTGTTTGGAGCAATAAACGAAACTCGAACTACTTTCAATCTATCGGAGTCAAAAGCAGTCGAACTGTACATAATGTAGGTAGCAATAGCGCAAGACTACCAAACCGCAACCTGTCTTTCGATTTAAAACGCGTTCCATTTCTCTTTTTGGCAAAATGCTCCTGTGACCGGGAGGGAGGCGGGGGAGTGAGGGGGGGGGGGGGGTTAGGGAAGGGAGCTGCAAGCCGCACTTTAAGACGCGAAGAGCCGCAGTTTGGCCACCCCTGCTCTAGTGCTTTGAGCTTTAAGGTGACCAATTTTTCTTCATCGAGGTTTAACTGCATGTATTGGCCCGTTCAGACACTCGCGGCTCTTTAGCTCCGAGTGCCTTAAAGGAGACATGCAAAGGAAAAAAACATTTTTTAAAACAGCTTAGATGGAAAAAGGATTTCATAAAACGATTTTACAATCAAGAAAAAAAAATGTTTACAGCTATATTCACGGCGCTCTACAAATTTGTAGTTGGCGCCCGTGGGCGCCGTGGAAAAATGGCCCTTATTTATCACGTGACTGGCCCTTATTTATCACGTGGTGCTTGCGCTCTTTCGGAAGCTTTCCATGGCCTCTAAAAGTAACTTATTCATCTTTGTTTGAAGTATAACAAAAGAGTAAGATTAATAAGTAACTTTTAGAGCCCAAAGGAAACTCCCGAAAAAACACAAGCAGACGTGATAGACCTGTGCGCCGGTCAGATGACGGCGGCGGCGCCCCGAAGCAGACGAACTTGTGCGGTGGCGGCGACAGCGGCATGGAGAAACGCGTTGAAGCAGCGTCGCACAACGCTCAGCGTACGGTGGCGGCGGCGACGCAGCGCGGTGGCGCGCGGGCCTACCACGTGACCAGCGGCGGCTCCACAGTCGCCAACTACAAATTTGTTTTGCGCCATAAATATAGCTCTAAGTTTTTTTTCTTCATTGTAAATTCGTTTTGTGATATTCTTTTTCCATCTAGCCTGTTTAAAAAGAAAAAAAGTTCTTTTCCCTTGCATGTGTCCTTTAATACCTCTTAGGATCACTTGCGACGAGAGAACACGCTGCCTGGCGCCATCTATGCGGCGACCCTGGAACTGCATTTCACTAGAGCAAAGGTTAGGCAGTATTCAGGAGGTTAAATGTATGCACTACTTATGGGAAATGGTTGTTCATAACATTAACGAATAAAAATATAAAAATGAAGCTCCTAAAAATAAAATAGAACATACATGATGGCCAAGTGTTCTACCCATAGGTGGCACCAGTGTGTTCTCTCGTCGTAAGAGATTTTAAGAGGTTTCAAAGCACTGAGTCTTAAAATGTTGCAAGTGTATGGACAAGCTTTTATGCATACAGTTAAACTTAGATGTAGTGAAACTCAATGTAGCAAAAATAACAATGTGAAGAAATGTTTTAGTTCTAGCATTCTTATTCATCTCCCACGGGAGATTATGGATGTTGCTCTTTAATTTGGTAAAGATTTTTTGACTGTAGTTTCAATATAATTAAGTTTTTGCAAATCATGCAGGCTCGTACATGCAGCCTTTGTGAGAGAGAAAGATTTACCTTTTCAAAATCTGTCTCGATGGAGATGCAGCGTGCCCCAGTTACACAAAAGTCAAATACTCGGTATGAATCGTGTCATTCTATAGATACTATTAAATGCAATAATCGGCCCTAGTTTTTAAAATTAGGGGGGCACTTTGTCATGCATTTATCTTAAAGGGTTGCTGAACCAAACACTTCACTGTCCATAATAAGTGGCGCACAATCTTTCCATGACCCAGCAGCCACCAGCTTGCGCAAGCACATGCAACGAAATTGACGTCATAGTCCTCCATTCACACTTAAAATGGCGGTGAAATGTGTGGGCTCCGAGGAAAAGGAGAATAAAGACATGCTTTTCATCTCCACAGTGGGGTCTGGTGTGAGAAGTAGGCGATTAATTACTCTAACAAGCACATAGCTTTCACTTGTGGAGATGAAAAAGCTGAATAAAAGGTTAAAAAGCGCGAGCAAACGAGGACAATAAAGAAACACGGGCGACAGGACAGGCGCTTCTGTGTCGTCCGTGTTTCTTTATTGTCCTCGTTTGTTCGCGCTTTTTAACCTTTTATTCAGTAATGGACCAACTAGCCCAAACCCAAGTTTTAATGAAAAACCTATCTTTATTCTCCTTTTGCCCGGAGCCCATACATTTCACTGTCATCTTAAAGGGACACTGACAGGGTATTTATGCTTGCCAAGGTTTTTATTTGTACATTACATATGAGAGCCCATCTACACAGAAAACAATTCGCGGCTCGAAATTCGTTTTCTTTCCGACTGAAAACAGTAGATATAGAACTGGTGGGTTTGAGTCGCGCTCACTCTCTTCTCTGTGTCCACATGCCGTTTTCTATGGTTTAGACACAACCACGAAATATAATCAAAGTTGTAGGTCATCGAAGGCGCACACACAATATTAAAAATAGAAAAAAAATATGATACCAATTTTTTGTGGCATCTAAAAAACTGCAAATGTATTGTTTGGGAAAAAGAAAAGTACCGTAATATCCCGAGTCATCGCCCACCCCCCAACCGCCTGAAATTCGTTAAAAAAGTGGGGTGGGCCATGTCTCGGTGGGTGAGCACAAACACTTAAAAAAAAACGGAAAAAACCGCCTATTTTTCTCTGCGTATCTAGCGCTGATGCACAAGAGATACATCAAACTCAAAACTCGATTTAGTTTCATTGTTTTATAGAAAAGAAATGCTCACGAAAGAATATTTTACTATAGCCAAGTCCGTTGCTTGCATACGCGCTAGAAACACCCCCGATCTGCATATAGCACGAACGTTTGTTCCGTGAAAGAATGTCACCATTATGTTCTCCTAGTTAGTAAAAAAAAAAGAAAGAAAAGTCTACAAGAAAACAGAGAAACCGACCAGGCACAACGAGCGAGGGAGCGAGCGAACCAAAGAAGCGACCAAGAGCAATGCCGGGAAAGCGGGAAAGCCGGCCGTCGCGTTGGCAAATACTTTGGCGTCGGGCCAAGTCGGGCGCCTTGTCAATTGCAAGCTCTTGCGCAACTTTCTTGTTTGGTGGGTACATACGTGCGTCCGTGCACGGCGGGCTATCAATGCACGGTTGGGACGCTCTGCAAACGTCTGTGTAGGACGTTCCAGCAAAGCTCTATTTACGCTTTGGCTTTGCCTAAAATATTGCACAACAGCGGTCGCGACGGGCGGGAAGAAGGAGCGGGTTCGCGGTGACCTTACTTCGGCAAAGACAGACTTTGACCTAACACTCCGCGGTTACCTTAACAAACTCTTATTTTGTTATCTCCATCGTTTTCTTTTCGCACGGATACACGACCACTTTGGGGTCGCTCACGGAGGAAATGCGTAAACAAAAAGAAGTGTCTTTCCCTCCTTCGTTTTACTTTGTCACGGACGTCCTCCAACTGTAAGGTCCGCGGCCGCGTCATTCGGGTAGGATGAGTGTTCGCGGATCCCAGAGTCCGCGCTGGGGTATTTGAAGGGGTGGGCGATGACTCGGTGTTTTTTCGGAAATCGATATTGGCCCAAAAAATGGGGTGGGCGATGGCTCGGGGATGGGCGATGACTCGGGATATTACGGTATCGCAGCCACGTGACTTCTGCCACCTCTCTCCTTTTCTATCTTCCTTCTTCCTCCTCAGTGCAGTTTCGAGCAGTTGCGTTTTTTAATTTATTAAAAATATATGTGATGCTGTATTAAAATATTGCTTGTGTAGTCTTCTAACACCATAATAAATTACCCGGCAAAAAAAAAAAAAGAATTTAGAGTGTTTCACTGTCCCTTTAAGTGTGCATGGAGGACTGTGACGTCAATCTCATTGCGCATGCTCGCGAACATTGTCGGTTGCTAAGTCGTGGAAGGATTGTGCGTCACTTATTATGGGCACTAAAATGTTTTGTTCAGTATCCCTTTAAGGCATCTTTCTATAAAACTTGTGAAGAAATAGGATACAGTACTAGGAGTTGTCAGACCTATGCAAATGGATTGAAGGTTTGAAAGTACAAAAGCTTTCTAACCTTTTAACCTCTTGGTTTCATCCTTGCAGCTTTGCACCTCTCATCTAAGTGCTCTTGCATGGATGTGGTGTGAAAAGCCAACTTCTAGAGTAGTTCTTTGGCACTGTTACATGCGAGGAAAAAAACAAAACATGAGGAAGTATTTTGCTACTTCTGTGTACAGATGTTTAACATGAACTATTAAATTAGCGGTAGAAATAAAGGGCTTTTGGGAAATGCAGCGTGCCCTTATATCTCTGTTTCTTAAATCGTCTATATTGAATTACCCGCTTGTGTTTTGAAATGGCACACAGTTTTCCTGGAGTTTAGTAGAAAGATTTAGTGTGCTAAAGGAACCCAGGATATAGAAACCCAGTTTGAGAACCCGTGCAATTGACATTGAGTTAAGTGCACGCAGTGCATCTGTTCGAATGGCTGTCTGGGGATATTTTGCAAGCAGCTCAGCCACTTGAGCTGAAGAATGGCGTAGCCACGAATATCTTTTGGTGGGGGAGTTAAAATGCATGTGTATATTATAAGGTCGACTTGGTTTTGTGGAGGGGGGGGGAAAGGGAAGTTGAACTTCCATAAGCCTCACCCTTGGCTACGCCACTGGAGCTGAGTATGCAATCAACCCTGTTCACTGAACTCGGAGGGTGAATGGGTGCGTGGTTTTGTTGCAGACCAGGAAGTGGAGACGTTTGACGTGACCCAGCTGGAGCCGGTGGTGCTTCAGGACATTGAGGCTGACAGCTTCTGGTGCATGAGCAAGCTCCTGGACGGAATTCAGGACAACTACACCTTTGCCCAGCCAGGCATCCAAAGCAAAGTCAACACACTCAAGGAGCTCATACAGAGAATAGACTGTGAGCATCACTCACAAGCTGCTCTGGCAGTGTGCTTGTTTATGGTGATTCTGTATATTTCTACCGCATGCACTTTAAGCACCTAAATTTGCACCAGGAGGTCTATGGTGGGGTCATGCTGGGACATTGTGTCGACCTTGTACAGAGCATTATGGGGAATAGTAGGGGGTCTTGGATGGAGTGCAGGGTGAAGAGGAGAAATATTCCGAGAAGTGTGCAACTCTTTCATTCTCTTCTTTTGGTTGTAGTACAGTGCCTGGAATCCATTTTTGACAAGTGAATTTAGTGCCCTATGCTGCTCACACACTATTTGAGCATCCGTTAATACGTACGTTGCCAGGGTCCTCCAAGGAAACCACAGGTAACCGCAATCTTTGCGATCGGTATCAAAAGCAAAAATGAGCCAGCATCAGCGTTGCCGACTTTTGAGGTTTGCCAGTCCGAGGTTACTGGAGCTTATGTCGATTGGCCAGTTGTGGAGTTTGACAAAGAACATGCACTACTACGTGGCTATAGCAAGCAACTTTCATACCCACGGCCGCCCACAGGTTGCCGCAATTGTACCATCGCCAAGCGGGAATCGAGCGGACGAGATGGAGATGGTGAAGCCGCCAGTCAGAAATGCATTCCAAGCACCATAGTAATAGGGCTTCGCGACCCACCCACCGCGGGACATTGTCTGCAAATGCTACGGACACATGCACGGTTGTGCTCATGCGCAAGTCTCCATCACAAATTTCTCTATGTACTGCGTTTCGAGTGCCCGAAACAAACTTCGTAGTCTACCTCTGGCAATAATAATGCTCTATTTTCTTCTCGCACTCAAACAGCCTGTTCATCCCCTGAAGCGCAGAAATCGGGTTCATGATGGAAACAATGAGAACAGAATTGTTTGATCGATGCATCGGATAAAACGGCTATGGTCACTGGCAGAGTGAGAATGGCAGGGAGGTCTTTTAGTTGTTCCGCCTCCAATTCAAACTTTGACCTTCCCACCTTCGGCAACGCTTTGGTGTATCTTGAGCCTCGAGCACGCACGCGCAGCCGAAGCATGATGAAAAGCAACAAGCGAGTGTTGGAGGCCGGTCGTTCGAAAAAGACGCCCAGCTGGACTTGCTTTGTCAATGACCATAGGGAACTGTACAAGCAGTTAGAGTAACAAAGGAGATAAAGCAGCCACGGAGCACCGCTTCTGACGTGGCTCCTGCGTCGTCCCCCCCGCAGCCCCGTTGCACGACCACCTGCAGAGGCACTGCGTGGAGTTCCTGCAGTTCACTTTCCGCTGGATGAACAACTTGCTGATGCGGGAGCTGCCGCTGCACTGCACCATCCGGCTGTGGGACACCTACCTGGCCGAGACGGAGGGCTTCTCCACCTTCCACCTGTACGTGTGCGCCGCCTTCCTCCGCTTCTGGTCCGAGGCCCTGCTCAGGGAGAGGGACTTCCAGGTACGTGCCTCCACTTCCCGCACGAGCGAGGGCGGAAGGTGGCGCAAGAGTTTGCGTAATAATCTCTTTAATTTCTCGAAAAGGAACTCCGATTTTAGGGGTCTCTCGTTTTGTCGGCTCCTGCCGACGCAACTGAGCGCAACGGGTCAGCTGCTCGTGACGCCCCCTCTGCAGATCTTCGTTGGTGTAGTAGTGGTGAACGGAATGTTTTCGCCCTCCCAGGGCCTGATGCTGCTGCTGCAAAACCTGCCGACTTACGACTGGGGCGACGCCGAAATCACCCTTCTGGTGGCAGAGGCCTACCGGCTCAAGTACACGTTTGCAGACGCACCCAACCACCTGCAGATGAGCAAGTGAAGGTCACGGACCGTCGTGCCGTCGCCCTGGCTATCGACGGAGCACAATAAAGAGGAGGAGTCCTTTGAACGGACTCACACAAGGCCTTCAGCAAGTGTGGCACGAACTGCAATGCAGTGATAGCCTCGTTGCAATGTGTTACCCTGTCGAGGGCGTGCGTGCAGTGGTCCTTGCCCGCAAATTTTCGAATTGTATATTTTTGTACATTAAAAGCTGAGATTTCCCCCGTAGGGCAGGAGGAAATTCCAGACGGGCTTGTGGTTGCTCAAGGAATGAGAAGTGCCTGTCAGTTGTGTCGACGGTTCCGGTGTCAGGATCGCATAGAGGCTCCGGAGAGCCTCGTTTTAATGTATGTACGGCATAAAAGAATGCGGTCCTTGAGTAAGGTTAAACTTTTCGTTTGTTTAAGTGTGCGGTCTCAACACACTTGGCCTTTTGGTTAGGAGCTTACGAGATTAAAAGAAGCGTGTTCAACATCCACTATCTTGGTGTGTGTGTCTGTGTCTGGCCATTTGGGCGCTTCTCCGCATAAAATAGCAAAAACAAAACATTTTTCTGGTGACATACACGAATGTCTGTGACGTCAAACAGTGTGTTGTGAAAATGGTGATTAATTTCCTAGGTTGTTTAGAGAGCAATTGGATATTTTACTACGATGCAAGACTATCGAATCTTTCTTTGAACGTAGACAGCAGCGGGACGTCCTTGCCACTTGTGATGGCAAACGCCTAATAAATTAAATACCCTTTTTGAATTCATCTTGTTTCGTTCAGTCCACCAGGATTTTGGTCCCCTAACAGCAAAACAAAATATGATTGAAAAATGAAGCAAGTGGCGACATAGTATGTGGGTTGCATGTGTTGTATTTCACGTCATTTAATTTTCGTGCAATTAAAAAAAACAAAAACCGACGCTTAACTTTGAATAATTGAAGTTGAGGAGATGACCGGACATTGATAATTCCAACTGTGTTGAGAGGTCGAGAGGGTACGATCGGCACGATTCACTCCATGGAGCGTTTTCGTGCTCTGGGAGTGAACCCTTGAGGACACGGACCCTGCAGCACGCGGCCGACGCGGCACTCAGTGGCGCGACACAGATGCTATAAAAAAGTGCCTAGATTACAGAGTCGACGACAACGCGTCGCTGACAACGCTACCGATGCGCGCGCCGCTGCCGGCAGCCGACGACAACAAACACTCCAGCCACTCCAGCGCAGTGCGCACCTATGCGTTCATCTAGCTAGAACTGCGGTGCCTACGTGCCAGTCGGACCAATCAGCCGCCTCCCTATTATCATCTGATCCGACCCTCGGCGTGTGATCAGCAGTGATCAGCATGTGATCAGTGTGATCACGTGGCAAACAAAAGAACGCATGACTGGTCCAACGAGGACGTAGGTTCCGTCGCAGTCTCAGCTTAAGGGTGAACAGAGCGGCCAGCGCCAACCTGGAGCACGCCTGGCACGCCCGCACGCCGACTAGGCGAATCCTGCCTCCGGCCTTCCGACGCCGTGGACACCGCCAGCACCAGCGTCGCGTTGTCGGCTGTGTCCGTGTGTTGAGTGAGCGCCGTTTTGCGCCCACGAGCAGCGAGATACCACAAATGGGTGTGTTTGTCCGTGTCCGCCGTGTGGAAGTGTAGGTGTCAGACGTGGAGCTTACCGTGCTGCGTTTGTTTTCTTTCCTTGAGACGTATCCCGAGTTCGTTCGGTTCTGCGGATAGTCGAGGATTTCCGAAACATGAAGCGATACCGCCGCCACCTGTTTTTCTGCCGTTGCCGCTGTGCCCAGTGAACGCTACGCTGGCGTGACCCCGGACCCCGAGAGATTGTTACGCTGCATATGTGCGTTATGTAGTCCGGTGCAGTGTACGAAAACAGCAAGATGGATTTGAGAGACGCTGAGTACCGACCACTATTTGGCGGGCCAGTCGACAGGCCACTGTTTGATGAGAGCAATGTGCGGGTAAGTTTGTTCAATTGAGCTCAAAACAATCTGGTAAGGTAGGAGCATGCTTCGAATGAAAGTAGTCGAAACAGCAGCGAAAGCGCTTGTTAAACTTACATGTCATGCGATAACCGAAGTTGTCCATCTTCCGTTACGCCCCTTTCGCTGCAAACGTAGCGAACGAACCGCGTCAGGGATGGCGCTTCAGTTTTTCCCGTAATCAGCAGGAATTGGAAATCGCGCTCTGCTTGTTGCTACGTTAAGGATAGGTACTAGCGGGACCTGTCTAGGAAAATTCGACAAAGCCTGCTCAGCCTAGCTGTTCCTCTGGGAAAAACTGGACATGAGTCTGTCTACCCGTGCGTTGATGTAGACGGTTAGATCAGCTATGCGGTGAGCGCAGCTGATAGCAGAGCGACTGTGGTGGTATTCTTTCGCCAGGAAAAGAAAGCACTGTTTCTAGGTGCCAAAATTTAAAAACAACAAATAAAAGAAATATGCATTAATCTAGTCCCTGCAGCACCATGCAAGGTGTGTGACAGAGGAATAAGTCTCTGCTGCATCACCATACAAGTCTCTGTGCTGCATCACCATTTGGGCTCGTCGGTTCATATGAAAGGTCGTGAGCATGCAGGTCATGAGCATGCAATCATCAACCAGTCAGATAGGTTGTGCCACCCCTTTTTTGCACCCAAACCTTCCCAGCCAGCATAGTTCCAAATGCTCTTATGCTAGCTTGTCGGTGTCAATAGACCTCATGCGAAATTGGTTGGTGGTCTGACAACACTGAGAGCGTCGCCATTTTAATGTTGGCAAGCGTCGTCAGTACCGAAGCACAGTGGAGGCATTGTACACAACCGCATGGGCAGTGCGCAACGGCGCGACAGCGTGCACAGGCCTCCGAGAGTTTCGTCGGGCAGTTGCAGTAGGCCGTCTAAACTGTTCATCCACACTCCATAGTCGGAAGGCCGAAAACAGAGCTGCCGTGCCATCGCACATTGCCCGTACAGTTGTCTCCGATGCCTCCACCGTGCTTCGGTACCAACGACGCTTGCCAACATTAAAATGGTGATGCCCTCAGTGTTGTCAGACCGCCAAGCAATTTAGCATAAGGCATATTTGCTAGCAAATAATTGCAAACTGATGTGGTTGTCACTGACTATAGAACCAGTGTATGCTCAGTCTGCTCTCGTATGGTTTAAGGCTGTCCTCTTCTGGCCAATTAACTTGCTATCAGTGCCATTAGGCTCCAGTGTGTCAGTCGGAGCAAGGCACATGTCAACGTACCGGCTGAGTGCATCCCTCCTGTGGGGAGCTGACATGGGCTTCACTGCATCACTTTAATTTATTCATGGGGGCCATGGCGTACGCTCTCCTTCTGCCTAGTAATGTGCCGTCCAACGTTTGCTAGCAAACAATATGCAGGCGGAGAGCGATGCATCAAATGCACGTCTCATTCTTGGTAGGTGGCACTGTACGCGCCATGTAGACATGAGTTGCTTCAGTCTTTCTAAGCTGCTATTTGTGTTCCTGTCTTGGGACCATCTGGGCATGGCCAGGTACACACGCACCAAACTAATGCCAATTACAAAACGTGCAATAAATACGATTTTCATTTTCTCATTTGACACAAAAAAAGAGTGAAAGTGCACTTGCATGGCTGGATGCTTGTATGTGCTATCCCTGTGCTCTTTCCAGGGGGAATCATACAATCATGTATAATTCATGTCACTGTCATCAATTTAAGGGTGCGGTTGAACAGTATTGAAGAATATTGACTGGTTTAGGACTTTGCCTGACAACTTCTTACAAATGCTGACACATTCAGAGATTTACATAAAAGCTGCAAGGAGAGGCTTTGCCCTCTGTTTCCCATGGAGAAGTTGTGTTACTTTATGACACTTTATGACACTCAAAAAAGAAAAATGTCCCGATTTAGTTGGCGGTCACCTCCCTTCCACTTGTTTTCTCTCGGCATTTCAATCACGTGGTGGAGAGCTGGAGCAACTTCGCCTTCACGACCGAGATGCTTCGTGCGCAGAATTTCAAATAAATCTCTCGCCGTCAATATTGCTCCAAAAACATATATATATATATGTATATATATATTTGTTTTTTTCGTAAAGTTTATTTTTTTTACATGCGTGTCCCAACCAGTGTTGTACGGAACGGCGCCGTTCCATTTTGCACTCATGGAACTGGAACAGGAACGGGTTACATTTCTATTGGAGCGTAAAAAGGAACGGTGTTCCTTTTTTTCGTTCAGTGGAGTTATTTGTATTTTATTTCTGAAAGGGAAATTCTAAAAGTATAAAAACAATATCCATCTAAACGAAGAGCAGGATTTCGTTAACTTTTTGGTTACATACCATATGGTTAATTTTGTGTGATACTCGCTTGGTGACAGTCGGGTGCTAGTGGACATTGATTCTTTTTTCAGTGCCCGAGATTGCGGCACAAAAAGCAAAACTTTTTCTCGAAGGAAAAGACACAGAAAGAAAGAAATTTCAAACTCGGCTACTTTCTTTGCTTCCACGAATTCTCATACACCCAGAAATCTAAGGCCGACTGCAGCCATCACTGAACTTCCACAAATAGATGTACAGTTACAACAAAAGAGCAGGTTACCCGACATCGAACGCGCCCTTGCATCCTGAATATTGGTGACATGAAATATACAAAAAAAATTAATTTTTATTTCTTCTCCCCTTGTTCCCTATCTTCAAACTGAACAACGAATCCAGCCTCCATGAAGAAGGACTTGTACTTTTCACGACCCTTCCAACAGCCCTACCTTCTTCACTTGCTCGTCTTGCGGACAGCAACATCGAGAAGCAACTGTTGTTATGTTTGAACAAGTGACTTCGTTAGATTGAAATGCGTGAGGTTGTTGTGAAACGCTCATGCAATGTGAGGTAACAGTAGATTTCGCTCGTCTGAATCGCCCACCACAAAATATGGTTAAAAGCTGAGATTTTTAAAGGTGAATATATCAACAAATGAAACACTGCTTCCGCTTGACTTCTTCTCTTGGTGCTTTTCCATCACTGCATTCAAATTTTATGTTGCCATTTGGTGGGATAGATAAAAAACAACAAAAACCACTTTGTTTGATCTAATTGTATATGATAATCGTCAAAATACAAATTTAACGTATATGTAACGATACATTCCATTTCTTTAACTGTAATGGGAACGAGTTCCTTTTTCGCATATGGAACTTGTAACGAGAACGCATTCCAAACATCAGAAGGAACGAGGAACGAGCTTTCGTTCCTTTTTTTGAGGAACGTGTACAACACTGGTCCCAACTCCCAACCAGACTGTTTAAAATTAAAAAAAAAAAAAAAAAACTTTTTTAAATTTTTTATATTTATGGCTTTTTAACAGGCTACTGTAAACAACTTTATTTTTGCACACTTAATATTTTTTTGAAGGGTGGGTCTTAACAATATTTTGTGGGCACAAAATTTTGCGATTGCGAGTAGTATGCTGTGAATTCAGTGCCACGGGTAATATAATTCTGTGATCTATTTTCTACTATAATTTGCAAGTTGCAAAACTTGTGAAATTAGGTCCTCAGAAAAACAAAGTTGTTTACAGTATATGGCAAATATTTAAAAGTAATTTTGCCATGCTTTTGAGAAAGAGTTTCAACTACTAAGCTTTTCACACATTGAACTGGTGTATATATTTATTCATCTGTTCTGGGGGCCAGTCACTAAATATTTCATTCAATGTTCTGTAGCCATTTCTGTCTTCATGCATGCTTGTCCGTTGTCATTTTTGTTTTTCATATTTTTATATGTTACTCCCCAATGTATGGAGAAAACAAAATCACAAATAGATAAAAAAAGAAAAAGGTATTTTTTTAGGAAAAAAAAAGACAAGACTGGCACTAACATTTTTTTTTTTTTTTTGCATATTGTCTTTTAACATTTTGCCAAGTTTGGCACATATGTAATGGAAAAAGTGCAAATAATAGCAAGCTCAAATTTTGTATCTCTGATCTTATATGACCATTTATATATTTGATCTTATCTGATCTTATATGATGAATATTCTGCTAGGCACCATACAGGTGGAAATTTCACAGTTGTCTAAATTGACTTCTCTGCACATGAAAATGAGACAGGACTGTCAGTATAGGTGTGCTGCGAGACACATTTGTTGTGAATATGACTTTGGCACTTTGTTTCCATTTACCCATATATGTTAGCGTTGAACACCAAACCTTATCTTCCAATTTGATGCCAGTCTTTCACTGGTGTGAGAAAAATTGTGAAGTCATTAACCACATGTTCATTTGAACTTTGTTGCATTCTGTATGTAGAAAGCAAAACTTTTAGAAGCTCTTTCAGGTAATTTCTCTGGGTGACATTCTTCCCAGTAAAAGAGGATGATGTTTTATGTGATAGTATACCTGCCGAATTAAATTGGCTTGTTGGTTTGGTTATGTCATGAGGGTAATATGCCAAAAAGAAGATAACAAAATTGAGAGTACAGGTTGTCCTGTTGCTACCTTCCACTTTGTCCTTCTTTTTGGGGGGGCATATCATTTTTAAGATATTTCTGCTGTTCTATGACGAATTGCCTTTTGTAAAAGACACTGAAATAATGCTTGATGGCACTTGCTAATATGATGTCTTTCACATGTTGCAGGAACGAAGGATACATGTGCTCATAGCAATCTTCACTGTAATCTTGGTGCTGGTGAGTGGTCTTCTTTCTTACTCCCTCTAGGCACCCTTTGAATTAAAGTTTGTGACCAGATTGATGTAATGACCGACTGAGCTTCAACAAGCTCCTACTTGACTGATTCAATATAATTTCCAAGCATAAACAATTTACAAAAGCTTTCAGAAACACCAGTAATTTCTGAAATACCTATTATGTGTAAAAGATGGAGAGAGAGAGATATTTTTGTCACATTTGTTAACAGTAAATTTCTCATTCTGCTCCCCCCTTTACTACTTTCGATTGCTGCATTTAATATTAACCCAAAAACATTTCTATCCAAGGATTTTACCATAGGCACCATAGTTTATCTTTTTGTTATAGTTTCATTATTAGAGTATCTTCCTTTGTTTCATTTCTTTCATGTATTGGTAACATAACTCATTATATTTAGTCAGCTTTAGATTGCAGTGCAATATGAAGTACTCTGATATTTACCTCGAGCCCGTGGCATTGCACTTTAATTTCAAGACAATACATCACAACAATGCTGAACAATTATGTTGCTTCTACAAAAAGTTATTAGCACTAGAGCAAAGTTCACATTGTCTTTGACACTGCAGCACAACAAAGAGGACATTGTGCCCCTTTTTTGAGCCATAATATTTTTTCCTTACCCACTTCTTTTTGTTTTTCTTCACAGGATTGTTTTAGTTTTATTATCTAACGGCCATAGTATCACAGACTTCTCTAATTATAAATTAGACATCTACATTGTGTTCTGGAACTGGTGATTTTGTGTGATATGCTTTTGACACCCCTTTAATTCCTTTTCTTCCCTCAGATTACCCTTATTCTAGCATTCTTCTACTCTGTCCACCCACCCTGCGGGAGGCACATATACTTTGCCCTCTGCATCCTCTGCCTGTGTTTTACACATGTTATCTTGGTGAGTACCTGCCTACATATGTTGAAATTGTCTCTGTTAGATAGGGGTCACACCTGTGTGGTCCTACTGAACCTGACACTAACCGCTTTTGTTCTGTTGTGTTCATGACTGAATATTAGAACACTCCTTAGGCTCATTGGTGGAAATACTGAATGAATACGTTGGCCATGCTCTGCACCTTTGGACATGCTTTGAACAACATGGCTGACAGACATGCAGTAAGGGGTGGGGTCATGATATGAAGTGCATATAAATATAAAGAAATAAATGAACTGAAGCTCCTAGACTGTCAATACTGTATGTAGGAGTTATATGAATCAGGTCATTTTTACTTAATCGTGAAATTCTGTTGTGTAAGATGCAGTAAAGCAGTTTTCCAGAAAGGTGCAGATACAGGGATGGGCAAAATACATGCAAATATGTATTGAAATACAAATACAAAATACATCGTCAAAATGTATTTAATTACAAATCTAATTACATTTCCAAAAAAGCATTTAAGTACAAGATACAAATACAACCAAATGTATTTGGTCTCCTGCAAATACTTTTCCAAATACATTCCTCAAAATTTGCGTCAGCGACTTCAGGGTACCTGCAACGGGTTTCCGAGTATCTCATTTAAATTTTGCGTCGCACACTCGGGAGGTAGTGTGCGAGGCTGTAGTGACGTAATAGAAATATAATCACAAAAATGTAATCAGCTTGGACGTAATAGGTGAAAAAAGTACAGAGCTTCAAGCAGCTTTTTTTGTCGATTACATTTTGGTATAAACCAACAAAGAACCGAGACGACCAAGACGTGCAGCACTAGCTAGAGAATTTTTTATTGTTGCAACTCGCACCAGTTACGAAAATCTGGACGACTCGCGCATTTAGAATATTCCAGGCAAAAATGTGGATGGAAATCAGGCTGGAAGGTATCACAAGTTGTCACAGGCACTTATTTAGCCAGTCTGCCTGTGAACGTCGATTTCGTCATTATTCTTGCCCTGGACTAGCACCGTAATCACAAAGTCACTAAACGTGTGTGCTTGATTGAGAAACACTGCATTTGGTGCAGGACGTAGTCTTCTTCCTGCTCTGGACAGTGCCTTTAAAATAAAGCCGGAGGAGAAAAAGAAAAAAGCCCCATGGCCGAATAAAGGATGAAGACTATATCCACATGCATAAAAACAAAAATTATCGTGACAATAAATTTGAGGGATGTATTTTCGCCCACAAAATTGTATTTAATTACAATTGTATTTGAAATGCCCACGTTTTAGTATATAAATACACACATCAAATACATTACCCAATCTGTAATTGAATAAAAACGCAAAATACACAAAGTATTTGAAATACGTATTTTAAATACTTGTACTTCAAATACTGCCCATCCCTGTGCAGAAAGATGATGTTTTGTGAAAATACAAAGCACATTAGGTACTTGATACTTTATAGACAACAAATTTTTGTCCCTATGTTGTCCTAAAGCATTTTTCGTCTGGTATCAATGCTGCTGGTTCTTGTATATTTACGAAATAATACAACGATAGAAGTGCTGCACCAAATTGCGCCATGAACGAAAGTCTGCTACATCTTGTGCCAAAATGCAACTTTTGCTAAGAAGTGTGCCAAACCTGCGCCAAAATAGGCTTAAGCAAAGCAAAGAAAATAAAAATATATTATTGGGAGAAGTAGGAAGAAAGGAAACTACACAAATATATATTTCACAGCATCTCTACTGACCGTATAGTTTGTTTCATCTTACTTAGATCAGAGCACAATAGAAGGCTCTAGCACATAAAACTATGAACACGCATATTAAAAGCATGTCACGGGGCATTCGCTGTAGTTGATTGCTTTAGTCAATGAAATAACATGCACAGGAAGATGGATGAATGTCATGGTGTCGCACTTGACGCTGTTTGGTTGGTCCCATTGGCTCATGGCGTCTGCTGCGCTTTGAATTGAGGTGAAAAAAGGTTTAGAGATTGCTTGTCAACCGCACTGGCCGGTTGATGCACTAACGGGTTGATCGCTGGCATAGTCTAAGTTTCTAGACGGATGTTGACGACATGAGGAGCAAAAGGTTGCGAGCTAAGATTGCAAAATAGTAGGATGGCGGCTACTTTGATAAGACAGAACGAGGGCCTTATAGCACTCCTGATTAGATCACTTGATTATCATGCCTGTTGCATGCCTCCCTGCCGCCTCACTCACGCCAGCACGCGGGTCGAGCTTTATTGCTTTGCACCCGAGTGCTAGGAGCAGCGGCTGACATGGGTGAGCACCTGGGTTAATGCGATAGACTCGGAAATTATGCTCAGAACTGTTCCAGGTCTACTATTTTTGTCCTAATTTTAGGTTGATCTCTAAATTAAAAAAAGAAAAAAAAGAAACTACTACAAGAAAAAGAGAGAACAAAAATGCAGATCTTTTTTTTTTAAATGGTTGCGGTAGTCAAAGGCAGTTCCTGCTTAGCTGTCGATCAAAGAAGCAGCAGACTTTGACTTCACTCTGGTACCAATGCACTAGAGCACTGTCAATTTTGGAGCACAAGTGTAGGTTATATGTTGGTGGTTGTTTTTGCAGTTTACAATATTAGAGTATTGAGTTGGGTAGGTTTTTAAAACTTGGAAAGGGGGGGAGTGCATTTTTATGATAGACATACTTTAGCTTCTGCTGGTTTTTGCAGTCATTTTACGGAAATTATATTTACAGGCTAAGTAAACTACCAGGTGTAAAAATGGGAGGAGAGAGAGGCTTTATCCCAAGTTGTGTAACAGAATAATTTAATGGCCTAGTTGGTTAAACATAGTACACAAAATTAGCTCAATGGACAAACACAGGAAGAACGATTAGACAAGACAGAGGACTACTTACAACTGATGTTTTATGAGAGGATAGAAGTAAACAAAGGTAAAATTGAGTCTAAGACCATAGAAAGAGGAGAAGAAAGAATATGCTACAGAAAGGGGGGGGGGGGTAAAGAAAAGACAAGGTCAGAACAATGAAAAAAAAAAAAAGAATAAGGATAAAAGAAAATAAATATCGAAAAAAATATGCTAAGGAAAGAAAAAACAAAAGAACAGGGCTAACAAATTTGAAAAGGAAGCTATTTTGAAAAATATTCCTATGAAAAATAGTGCATATACTGGAGTTCCTTCGTTGACATGTTTACCAATGGAGCACTAACACATGCATCTCCTCTGGTTGCTATGACTTGGGCTTCGCCTATTTCCCGTGTTCTTTTGTCCACACTTCGTCGCAGGATCTTTGTGCAAGCAAACAACGGATGTCACTCACAGTCCCTCACGTGTACTGGTAGATTTCCTGACACCACGGATTTATGAGAGAGAGAATGTTCGCTCCGCCTAATGTATGCACCATCCTGATTGGACAACGTAGGACTTCCTACAAGACATCGGAATCTTGTAAACGACCCCGATGCAGTAGTTGACATATTGGTGGACATGTCTCGCGCCACATTCATCGTGCCGGTCTTGGGGGGCATTTTTTGGGGGGCAGAGCCTTCTTAGCTTATCCGGAGCAGAAAGAACTACCTGGACTTGGTATTTGGCAGCGACTTTCTTAAAGTTGTGAGATATACGGCAGATGTGTGGTACTGCCGCTGGCCGGCGTCGTCAGTCTATATTCTTCTCTTGTGTTCTTTTTGGTTTTAACGAACCTTCGGCAACTTCTCACATGATAGAGGCGGGGTACCCTGAAATCTGTAGCTGTAGTACTTGCGCTCCAAAGCTCTGTTTTGCTGAATGCATACAAGACTTCTTCAGTGCCTCAGTCAAACAGCTGGAAACAGTTCCTTTTTTTATGAGTTTGGAGTGTGCCGAATTATATTGGGGTAGTCGTTGTTTAGATCTTGGTGAATACATCCAGCATACATGGTTCGTTTGAAAGGTAAGCCACAAATCTAGAAATTCGAGGATGTGTTCACTCCGATGGAGCTGCAAGTTTCCAAAATAACTGTGGCATACCCGTAGAGTCCTTCCTCAAACTTTTGACTGTCCACCCGAACAAATTTTTCCATTGTAAAATTTTGAATATGGTGAATTTTTGTTTTTGAGCTCTTTAAAGTCTTTGTATCTTAAGCGACTCCTATTCTTTCAGATCCACTGGTACCGGGAGGGAAACGTTCTGGATCCCAAGTTCAGGAAACTCATTTATGCCAACACTGTGATCATAGTGTTGTTCTGTATTTCTGCAATATCCTATTTTGTGGAGGGCTGCTCTGGCAAAGCTTGACCAAAGCAGGCAGCCGGAAAGTCCAGAGATTACCGGTGTGTTATTGTTCTGCAAAGATGTTGAAGAGCACCCAGGGTTGGATACTGGACTTGTGTGTACTTGAGCCAGCAACAGACAGCCTCCTGAAACAAAAGCTGCACACTCAACCCCCGTGGAATCTTGGGGACCATATAGTCTCCAGTAACATGAAAGACCTGCTCGGAGCATATGGCCGAAAAGTGCGGTGCTCGGTGCGGACAGTTCTATATTGCTTCGAGAGCGTGCGTTGATGATAAACATTCTCTTCCCCCGAAGCTACATGGAGTTGCCCAATGCAAGAGCATCCCCCTGCCCCTTTCTCCCACCAGCCGCAATCTTGGCTACACTCAGTTCAGTCTTTCATATTGCTGCAGACTACATTCCTGGTGCCTCTATTGCAGTTCTTTTAATCAGAAGGTAGCACTCAAGAGTTCCTGTTGGTGTTTAAAAGTGTGAGGGACTTGCCATGGGAGTTTTCATCATGAACAGCACCAGTCATGTTTTTACTGTTGTGTATAGATTAACTCGAATGTCATAGGTAAATATTTTGAGGCTGCAAGAATGTCACAGATGCCATTGTTTACCTAATACCTCATCTCCCAGACTAAAGTTGCCCCGGTGCCGGCTTTTTCTGCATGGTTTACTGTGCTAATTTGGTATGTGTGCATTCTGCTTTTTATTTTACTGCACAGAGTTTTTGTTTGTGGATTGTGCCATTTGTTAGAGTAGTCTTGTGCACAGCAATCACTGGTTGCTGTATTATTAAGGGAAATCAATGTTACAGAATTCAATCAAGTGGTAAGAATTGTGCTGAAGAATTTTGAGTGGGTTTGGGAAGGGGTCATTTTGGCTACTTTGTGTAGTTACATGGGCATTGCAGTATGATGACACGACGCATAATAACAATTTTGTTTTCATTGTCGCTGCAGATGTTATGAAAGAAAAGATGACACCTATAGATATTGCCTGTACAAACCACTTTTTCATTATTTTGTGCATGGTTACAGATAAGACGGAGTGACCCATGTTATGTAGCTGGTATGATCTTGCTGTACAATAAATACAAATATGGGGAAAATTCTGCATTTCCAAGAGTTCAAAAATAATTTTATGTGGACCATATATGTACACTGTGTTTTAAGAATTGATGTAATAAATTTGGTCAAATCTATTGGTGAATGGGCGTCACAAATACGTTCAGCTTTGTTAGAAATTTTGTTTGCAAATTAACTAATTAGGAAGGCATGTTTCCTATTGCCAGAGTGGTGGGGTAGTGAGGGAAGACAGGATCTAAGCCCCTTCAAATTAGTCCTAAAACTGTTTCATATACGCAACTAATTCATCACGAAAGTGCGGCTAGATGGTACATTTATCTCGTTAGAATGTACAAAGAAAAACATACCTCGACACTTCGAACACTTGAAACTTTAGGAGCAAAAAAGTGGACAAGACACACAGAGGTTGCAAACACAGCTGCGACGTTTATTCCCATTTTCTTGTTTACAAAGGTGGCCCACCAACGGTCTTCAGATGTGGAAAGTAGGACATCATCAGCTCGGTGAAAGTTAAAACCACTTTTTTATGAATCTACAAGCCTTTTACAAGTCAGCTTAAGTGGAAAGAGAACAGCAGATAATTAGGGCATTTGACTGGGAAAGAAAAGAACCCAAGCGAAGTTTGAATTCATTTTCTTTCCCCCCCTTTCCCAATTTTTCTAAATTAATAAACCTCCTATCGGCACACACTTTTTTTTTTTTTTTTTCGCATTGGCATTGGGAAGTTTTTACGCTTTCCCTTCAACATGTTCAGGGCATTAGCATGTAGAATTTTATCGTTTCATTTTCGTATTATGTTCGCTGCTTTCCTTTCGCCCTTTGAGCGACGTGAACGATCCTCTGGGTCGGACCTGCCCCTTTTAGCCAACAAGCTCCACCCACAAAACCCTCCACCCTTTACACTTGAGCAGAACGAGCACCGGAGAGGAGAAAACCAGCAATCATGGCGAACAGCTTGCTATGTAGAAGAACTTGTAGTTGGGCTGCAGTAGTTGGGGAACGGTATGAAGCATGGTGTAAGGCACCAAAAAACCACGGACACAAGGACGAAGAGAGAGACAGAGAGAAGTGTTGAAAAGAAAGGAAGCCTGGAACTTATTAGCCACACCATCGATTGGGGCAAGCCAGTTCCAAGTTGGGGATGGGGAATGAGTGGATCAAAAGAAAAGATTAGAAAGGTGAAGAGGGAAGACAGAAGGCACCTTGGGATGAGGTCACAGTTACTTGATTAGGTTTGTCCACTACAGTATATCCATTCACAGCACTGTGAAGACACACACCGGTGCCTGTGCCTGTGTCTTCTTTCTTGTGTTCGTTGTTTTTTGCACCATGGTTGCTGGTTTCCTGCTTTGATTTCCTACGAAGAACCCCGATAAACATGAGAAACACCTGACTTTTTAAAAATAACTTTTGCTGTACAAAAGTTTTTTTGTTTTGTTTTTTGAAATTTTAGATGTGTGCTCGATCTCTAATCGGTGAAGTGCGCCGAGAAACTGTGGGAGTTGAGGAGGTGAGAGTGTGCGAGGACGTTGAAACGCCGAGCTCTGGTTGGAACAATTAGTGGGTAGACCTTAAGTAACTGGATCGTGGGAAAGGCTCATGAAATGAGCAATTACTCCTTGACCTCTCCAATCTTGCTGAGCCAATCTAAATTCGCTGGCTTTATGGAGACGTTTCTTGTATGCGAGATTTTGTTATCCACACATTGGTGAAACAAGCGTACCTCTTCGTACCGCCACCAATGCGGTGTCGGTGCTTGGAGGCGTTGAAAAATAATTTTCCGGTTTTGAAATACGGAAGAACAATATATATGTAAGAGGTCTGTGGAGATTGGCATGATTGATAAGTAATTGATTGCATGCACAGTGCCAAAGACGCTTATATTGGCGAGGAATGCCTTCAGCACGATGATGCTCCATGGTGATCCTGGTGCAAATGGGTTAGAACGACGATCTCGAAGATTTGAAGGGGCCAAAATGGCGATTGCCATAGTAAAAAAATCAGATTAGTCAATCTCCTTGTGAGGTTTTGGTCGTTTGTATGTATAGTATCTGTTACTGTTCGGCCAACAGGCAGGGAAGGCAATGGCGCGCTACTTCCCCAGGATCCAGTGACTATGTAGACCTAAAGCTAGATAGATGCCTTTGTCTCTGCGATCATCGAATGCATTTGAATGCGAGAGTCAGACGTTGGACGCCGGCGTTCCGCGTTCTATCTAACATGTTCAACAAGTGCAGTGGAGACTAAGGCAGCTATAGCTTTAGGTCTACCCACTAATCCTTCCAATCGGAGCTCGGCGTTCTGACGTCTCCTCCGCTCTCTCATCTCCTCCTCTCCCTCAGCGGTGGCATGGTCAGACAGTCGGTCACCAAGGATTGTCATACGTGCCTTTGTTCCAAATGGCTACAATTAAATAGTAACTCGTGCGATCTACTAAAACTCTCTATTATTGTCGCATTATGGTGAGCGTGAAGCATTATAAGGGTTTGTACGAATTGTAAATTAAACCTTAACTCCCTGTTTCAGCTTATGTTGTACCGCAGTGAAGGCTAGAAGGGCGAGCTCATAACGAGAGCTTGTGCTGCCGAGATGTGCACTAGAGCAAGGAGCTCGCGCTTGTAGCCTTTACTGCGGTACATCATAAGATGAAACGGAGTACAGATATATATTTTTTTTCAACGGTTGCAGTTTTTATTGTTACTACCCGTAAAACTGTTACTACCTGTAAAAACTGTACAGAGAGGACGTGCGGGTTGGTGTTATGGGCATACCTACTGCATGGGCGCCAGCCTTTCCGTAACACCTAACACCCAGCACGTCCCTACCCACCCAAAGTGCAATAACATATCAAATATCGCCGAACAACACCAATATTTTGACAAACACCGAAAACCATCCGTTGCTTATATATGCATTGAACCAACTCAGATATATAGCAATCAACCAACTAGCTCAGCTTCAAGCCGTGTCCATCTGTTGATTTTCTTTACAAATACCAAAAAGTGGTGCTTTACCTTCCATTTTGGCAGAGGAAGGGAAAGGGTGCGCGAACAGTGTATGTATGCTTCACGGGTAATTAAAAAAAAAAAAAAGAACAAATTTATAGCAAATTTGTAGGAATGAAAACATGTTATAAAACAAAAAACAAAATTAAATCGGAAAAAAGGAAAAAAAAAAAAAACTGTATTCGTCCGCGACAGGACTCGAACCTGCAATCTTCTGATCCGAAGTCAGACGCCTTATCCATTAGGCCACGCGGACGGGACGATAGAGGTGCCCAATCAAGTGAATCGGACTACGTTTAGGACTTGCAACCCGCAAAGTTTATTTCTTCATTGCTTCTCCCCCATCCCCTCAATACCGGGTGTTTGTGAGACATCCGAACCCGGCTGTTCGCACAGCAAGCACAGCGCAAATAAACTAGACATGGCGGAGAGCTCCAACTCCGTGAAAACGTAGCCCCCAGCCGTTCGGGCAAGATGCCAAAATGTCAACACTTACAATTACCGGAATAAAATGTTGGAGGTAAAAAACTTTTCTCGCCAATGAGAGGACGCCGTCCGCGAGAAGCAGCAGACGAAATGCCTCTATTTGCGACCGCACGTAACAGATGGCGCCACTTGTCCTTGAAGCTTGAAACTGGCGGCAAATTTAAAATACCTGACAAAAGTATCGTATCCTTGCTCCCAACTTTGTCGGTTATTAATAGAAGGAAACAAAACTAAATAAAATATCTGAAATTGTAGTCGCTCGGTTTTTTTTTTTTCATGAAAAGGTGTCCCGATAAATACCGGAGCAGACGTCGTCTCTTCACGAACGCAGACAGTCATCTACGCGCACCAGCATTGATTGTTAATATTCAGTTTTATTTTATTCCCACTGGTATTCCTTATGCGCAGTGGCGTACCAACTTGTTTTTGAGTAAAAGGGCAAACCAGGTGCCTTGCTTCCCACTCTGAAAACAGGGGGGGGGGGGGGGGGGGCAGGCGCCGCCCCCCATTTCCATTTTCCCGGGGGAGGCAGGCTGAGAAGTTCTCCGGGAAGGGGGGGGGGGGGGGGGGTGCTGCGCGTTATCTTTTTGCCAGAACTGGAGATTGAAGCTAACGAAAGCACGCTGGGATTCCATTTCCCATATATTTTGTCAATAAAGGCAACGTGGCCGTTATTTTCTTTACATGCCACTACTATAAAAGAGCGTTACATGGCACGTAAACAGCGTCTCGGTAAGGATCATGGCCCGGGCCCGGGCCATGGGGGACCAGGGGGGCACGAGCCCCGATGCCCCCCCGAAGTTAACGCCCATGGGTACGCCCATCCTTATGTGGCAGTTAAGGAGCGTTTTACTGCAAGCCAATCATAACGCGAAATAAGAATTGAAAACATGATAATACCGCATTGCGAGGAAATGAATACGTAAAGTGTGCTATTAAAACTTTTTACTGACTAAAAAGAAACCTAAAAAGTCGAGCTGCATTTTTATGGCGGGATTTACATCAATAAAAAGTTGTGTATTGAAGTGTATTTTAAATGCAGAGTAATTCTTTCGTCCACATAGTTTTCAATAATATGATGGATCGGCCAGTCAATCTGCCGTGTTTAAATATAAATTTAGTGATAAATATATATATGTTTTGTCTGACTACAGTGATTTAAATCAAATAAATGTAATTTATTTGAAAACATTTTTTTTTTCCACCGTACTTACAATGCATAGTACTCGGCGAGCCAACCTTTACACAGTCTACGGAGGGATTACAGCCATGGCTTGCACATGACATCAGTCCGCTCAGTGTCAGTAGACGAAGCTCTTAGCTGTCGAAAATAATTTACAACAGAAGCCGAAAGGTATGCATGTTTCACGCGCACAAACGTGACTATGGATCTACACGGCAGGACTCAGACTTATGGCACTTCTTTGTACTTCACTCAAAGAAATGATCAAATGACGTCTCGAAAGACGATAGCGCGTTTTCACATGACGATTTCCATTTTTGTTTTCAAATTTGAAAGGTGTGTTTTGAAGTAGGAAGTTGTACTTTCCTCGGAAAGTACCAGGAACAAAAATACTTCGAGCAAAGTACAAGTACATACTCAGACAATGTACTTCAAGTAAAGTACAAGCGTTCTCTAAACCTACTTAAAAGTACTTTCCCAACAGTGACTGGTGCATGCATCTTGCACCATTGAACATTTTTCTCGGCCTGGACAAGCAGGGGTGAGTGACCACTAACATGATACGATGACGTCACATACAAGCCATGATACTGGGTTTCACGATAACTCAAAGTGCACTAATAAGACGCACAAATCGATATGCACACATAAGAGCGCAAAGTCACGTCGCATTCACTGAACTTGATTGTACTTGGTTTCACCATAAGTCCTAGCGCAGTCAAAGGCCAGACTCCAACACACGCGCATTAGCTAAAATCGCGAGATCATAACCCAAAATTGGAAAGTAAAAAAAAAAAAAAAAAAAAAAAAAAAAACGCTTCCGTTTTTTAATTTAGGCAAATTACTTGGAAAAAAATGATTGAAATATAAAGTAATTTGACACGAAATCATTATTTACAAATGATTTTGAGAAAAAGTATTGAAATGCAAAATACAACACAAACAACGGGGGGTACTTTATAATCTTCGAAACCATTTCTAAGTAGATTTAATTCTATAGTGTAGTTTGCCATCTTTAAATTTCACCCACCCACTTCCAAAAAAAAAAAAAAAAACTTTTTTTTTAATGAAAGGTTGAATTCCTAAAAATAAGATAGCAGCTTCACAAATATTTAAAATCGCCGAAATTTTTTTAAATTAACAAAATAAATTAGATTTATTTAATTTAATTCAAATTCATACGATTTAAATCAAATTTATATGATTAAAATTTTAGATCATATTAATTTGTTTAAAATAACTGAAGCAAAAAATATGTTTATTCACCACTAGATGCATCTCCCAACATGGTAGATTGATTGATTGATCAATTCGTCCGACCACTGATAACAATGCGAAAAACAATGCGGAACAAAGAATTACTCTTTAAATTACAGTTTAATTAACAACTTTTTATCGATACGATTTTCGCCATACTAAAACAAAAGCAGCCTGATTTTTGTAATTAAAAAAATAAAGATGTTTTCTTTTTTTTTTGCGCGTTCTGACTTGATTGTTAGGGACATTTTATTTCTAAGTTTCAGATAGTTCCCTTTGCGTTCTGATTTTGTTGCAGTGGGATGTTATGTAGCCGATGAAAAAAGTGGAAGGTGGAAATTGTAGAAATCAAGTTCATCGCTTTGGTCCGTTGAGAAGAGCACTTCCTTTTTCTTGCGTTCATCTTTATATAAATCTTTCTTACTTGATGATTCTTTGATTTAAAGGGATACTTCGACGAAATTTAAAATATACTCATCGTGTTCAAAAATAGGTGGAGTAGGATCCACAATATTCGTAAATGACAATCGCACGTTTGTATTTTGAGCCTGATGGCCAGTAAGTTGAGGGATGTCCCTACAAGAGTGTAGGGTAGGGAAGGGGGGGGGGGGGGGGGGGGGGAGAGGTTTGAAGGAAATGTACTAGATGCATAAAAAAAAAAACACAACGCACTGCTGACTTTGCCTACGCTGTACCTGCAACCCTCAAATTGCTAAGCCCCAAATGTCACATGCCTGAAAACAAGCTATTTTATTGCAATATATAATTTTTGATTTAACTAATGCTGGGGCTGAGACCCCCATGCTGATGGCTGTATTTTTAGTTATAAACGGCCCACTCTGGCAAGCGCTCGGAGAGTAGCCAACGGAGAGCACGTGACATCCCCCGCAATCATGACGTAGTTCGTCTCGGGACCAGCAAAGCTGCGGCGGGGCTGACGTGGGAGGGGATGTCGTAGTCGTTCCAGCCACCGAAGCGGCTCCTCTTGTATGAATTTTGAGTGACGGGTTAATCTTCTATAATCCTGTAGAGGGACAATGGCGACTTCTGGGACACACAAAGACGAATCTCGGGGAGAGGGGAGTTCCTCCTTCCTTTCTTCTCTCGTCATGGCCGGAGGCGAGACAGTTATCGTCACTACCTGTCAAGGTCCCTAGACGGGCATTACAAGCGAGGCGTTAGCGGCATCCAGGTGTGCTCTTTGCTAATGTCGTTTAATTCGTTGTAAATTTCTTTTTCCTGTATTTTTTAACAGGATATTGGCTTGTGCGATGTGATAGTGCTCCTTTGAACACATATAGACCAAAAAGGAAGCGCCAAAATTTCGTTGTAGTATCCTTTAAATTCGAAAGCATCAAATGACAGACAAACGGTAAATAAAAAAATATTTTCAAGATTATTTTATTTTTATGGTTTGACTTAAATTGTCATAGTAAAACTGATCTGATTTAAATCACGATTTAAATAATTATATGAATCACTATTTAAATAATGATTTAAATTGCTATTTAAATCACATTAATTTTTTTTAACACACTGCATTTGACTCACCTCAAGAATGCCCGAAATTGTACTTAATCACAATTTAATTTAAAATACCCAATTTACACCATTTAAGCGCAATCGACGTATACATTTCTTACGATGCAATTAAATACAAAATACTCCAAGTATTTTAATTACATATCTTAAAATTATACTGCACCTGAATTTATGAATCATTAATTTTCTGCGTGTGACCGACAGTCTTCCACTCGTCTTTTCACCCCGATTGGGTGATCATGAGTTACCCAGAATTCGGTTGCTTTTAAGTTTATACTTGCCGATATCGAAAAAAAAAAAAATGATGTAGGCATTGCAAAAAAACAACTCTTAGTGGCACCTCAGTGTATTCATTGTATTGTGGGCACGGTCTAGGGAAGCCTTCCTACACCGTGATTGTGGGCAAGAGTTAACACCAAGATAACGAACGACCTTCGATTGGCGCGCGACGGAGGAAACCTCATGGTTTTAGAGATTCCGAAACGCGCGCGCCGCTTTCTATTTATCGTGAAGCCTTGTAGATGGCGCCACGGTTCCACGCGAGCAGTAAAGAGCCTGTTTTATAGCATCTTCGATCAACTCGCACCGGAATCACCCTGAAACCAGCACAGTGCACAGCGCTCCTCGGTCGTGCAGCGCGATGTCGGTGCAACATCGAGGACAACTGCGCCGCGCCGGTGCACCGCGGCGAGCTCCATCTTGCGTCACTTCGCGTTTTGTTCGTTTATTTTGCGTAGGTCAGCGCACGGTGCCCGTCTGCTGTCAATTTCTTTTATTTTTTTACTCGCGGATTTGACGGTCCCACAGAAATAAACATCGTGGACGTGATTGTCGATGGGGTCACGAAGCGGGTGACAATTCCACATGTATATGTTGGCCATCATTATTGGTTCAAGAAAACGAAACACCAGATAATAGCCGTACCTCGCTGTCATCAAAACGCCTCGCGCCGCTTTCCACGAAGTTCGTGCTTTTCGGGCGCTCCTTGCCACCGCAGCAATCGCCAGTAATCGCGGCGATGGTGAGAAGCTCGTCGTCTCGCCGTCAGAAGACCCGAGGAAATCATCTAGTGCAGCTGCAAGGCGTGTTCGTTTTTGCAAGATCGCCATCTCGATAGTCTGCGCGTCTGCTACTCCCGCCATCTTCTCGATTCCCGCTCCTGGCCGCAATGCCTGATGGGACTGCCCCCCGGCGCACCGCCGATTTTCTTGGTGCACGTTGGGGCAACGAAAAGCCGCACCGGGAGGGTGCGCTTCGTTGATCGAGGACGTACGGTGCGCACCGGTGCACTTGATCGAAGATGAAGGGGCGCACCTCAGTGCCCCGGTGCGCACCGGTGCGGATGATCGAGGATGCTATTACAGAGTCCGACTGCTCGAGCTGCGACGAGACGACGAACGCGTTGATCGGCTGCGTATGTGTGTCTGCTTTTCCGCCTGCTTTCACCCTGGCCATGCTGGCCATGCGACAACGCTGCGCATGCGCACTCGCGACCATTAACATGAATCCCGTTGACCCTCTCTACAATCTAGGCTCTCTAGCAGACATCTCAGCTTTTGTGACGTCATTTGTTGCCACTTCCGTGCGTAAAGTACGGAAAGTGTGCAGTGAATCACGCGCCTCAAGTTTTTCCGTAGATGATTGGTATGGACGGTGACAGTACGGGAGTGATACTGAGTAGTTCTGAAGATATCGCAGAGAAAATCCTACGTTACCTGGACCACCGTCAGCTCAACACTTGTGCCAGGGTCTGCTCTACGTGGTGTGCGATAGTCAAACGACTCAAGCGCTCACGAACTGAGTTCTCGCATTGTTTCGAGGTAAGCTACACGAAATGTTCGTTATTATTGCCAATGCAATTTTAGATGACAGCATTTCTACCCGAATTCGTCGCTTGGCGCCAGCGTTCACGTTCCAAACTCCAAGGTGTTTCTTTCTTCGGAGCTCATTTGGGTCACCCTTTTAGGACGGCGCGTGTATCACTGCTAAATGGGGGGGGGGGGGGGGGGGGAGAGGGAGGGAGGGAGGGAGGGAGGGAGGGAGGGAGGAGGAGGAGGAGGAGGAGGAGGAGGAGTGGGGAGGGAGGGAGGAAGGAAGGAAGGAGGGAGGGAAGGGAAGGGAAAGGGGGGAGGGAGGAGGAGGGGAAGGGGGGAAGGGGGGAGGTTAACACGCCCTCTGGTGATACATGCGCCATCCGAAAAGGGTAAAGGCCCGTTCACACTCTTGCGACCGAGTACGACTGAGAGAGACCAGATCTCTTAAAACTTCTTAAATGTTTTTAGAATGAGGGAACACACTGGCATTGTGGCGCCATCTATGCGGTGACCCTGGAACTGCATTTCACAAGAGTGAAGGTTTTGCGGGATTTCCGAGGTCAAATGTGCGTAATACTCTTAGAAAGGCTCGTTTATAACATTGCCAAAGTTTTTCCGAGCCAAGAAAGAAAGGATAATGCGCGAGAAATAAAAAAGAAATATGCCGGACCGCCGAGTTTACACTGCTTCCCAATAGATGGCGCCAGTGTGTTCTCTGGTTTAAGAAGTTTTAAGGAACCCAGGTTTAAGAGGTCGCAAGAGTGTGAACGGGCCTTAACTCAAATGTCATGAGTTCTCCGCATCGTCCGGTTGAGGTGCCTGACGTCGTGCGTATATCTTTAGTCTTCTTATTTACAAGATTTACAATGCTGTCAGAGCTGCTGGCACGAGCATGGGTTGGATCTCACAGTTATTTGCACGCCGCTCTCCCGCAAACAAGACCATAGATGAAGCCACGCACTCACGCTAGTAGCTTTGACAGCGTTGTATACTTAGTATACGACGTCTGGAGCGCTTTCAGACCGCACGAACACGAGCAATCTGACATAGGCTAAGTCCATCAACATTTGCATCAACTCTCTGGCATAGAAACTGAAAAAGTCGAACCCCAAATTATCCGTCTCTGGCCATCCAGGCATTCACTGTTGAGACTGTAGTTCTCTGCGAATACATTCTTGCTTAGAGGGCTGATGCGCACTGCGCCAAATCTTCAGCACAAATGCGACGTCAACAGGTTTTTTTTTACATTTTGCTTCGACAAAATTATGGATAGATACCAAATTTTACCAGTGAAGTTTATGCCCGGAGCAGTTTCAATCATAGAAATAGTTTTCATTACAGCTTTTTAGTTGTGAAAGCCAGACGGAAAAATGGCTATTGATTGTTGATGGTGACTGTGTTGTGCGGTGAATGACGTTTGTGGTAACATACAAAATGTCTGTGCCTTGGCCACTGTCCAGACGAAGCCTGTGTCGGACTCCTGCGAAGAACCCAGTGGTGTTATCTCGGAGAAGGTGGCCAGCCGCTTCCTCGCTCAGCTTCGTGGTGCCTGGTGCGAGCCCGGACATGCACTGGTCTTCGCCACCGGTAGTAGGCCCACGATGTACAACTCTTGCACTGATGACATCCTCCAAGGTTACACTTTTCACTTTCTATGCTCAGCTTCTCCCGGTATTAAAGGTGCAATTTTGTACTTGGCTCAAATACCGCTTCGAATGAGTCCATAACCATTTATAGCCTATGAAACACGCGTTCGTTTTTCTCTCCACGCAAGGGTAGTTGCAGAAAAAATGAAATAAATACGATCGGCATTCAGCCCTTCAACTCCCAGCCAAAACAAGCAGCCATGTGGTCTGGACGCCACCAATGTTCATAATAGCCACTTTGTGGGGCTGGCAAAGCACAGGACACACGCTGAGCTCCAGACATTGTTAGGGTTCGGCAATTGTCATCATTTCAGCCATTGGACGCGAGCCATCACCCAAATGCTTGTCGAGCTATTGATAATCACGAGCCCAGATCGAGTGCTCGTACAATGCTCTGGTTCAATCTCTGAGCCGCATTCAAGTATTGTCTCTCGGAAGACTGCCAACACCGCACCTCCGAACGACGTCAAGTTTTGTGAAAAAGAGATTGAAAGAAAACATTCACTTTTATCGGTGAAATATCACTGCAGCAAAGAAGTTTCTTGGTCAGTGGCATTGTGTGGGAGTATATTTGGGTGCCACTAATGCTAGTATGCTTTTGCAACTTAAAAAACAATCCAACTGAATATTGTTGCACCACCTTTTTGAAGGGTCTGTGCACCACTATTGCTTTGGAATGTTTCTCTTCTTTACACAAGTGTACTGGTACTAGTCGGATGCAGGTATAGTTGCATGCGGGGATGGGCAGCATTTCAAATACAAGCATTTGAAATACGTATTTCAAATACTTTGTGTATTTTGCATTTGTATTTAATTACAAATTGGGTAATGTATTTGACGTGTGTATTTAAATACTAAAACGTGGGTATTTCAAATAAAATTGTAATTAAATACAATTTTGTGGGCGAAAATACATCCCTCAAATTTATTGTCACTGTCCAGAGCAGGAAGAAAACTATGTTCTGCACCGAATGCAGTGTGTCTCAATCAAGCACTAGCGTTTAGTGACTTTGTGATTATGGTGCTAGTCCAGGACAAGAATAGTGACGAAATCCACGTTCACAGGCAGACTGGCTAAATAAGTGCCTGTGACATCTTGTGATGCTTTCCAGCCTGATTTCCATCCATATTTTTGCCTGGAACATTCTAAATGCGCGGGTCGTCCAGATTTTCGTAACTGGTGCGAGTTGCAACAATAAAAAAATTCTCTGGCTAGTGCTGCGCGTCTTGGTCGTCTCGGTTCTTTGTTGGTCTATACCAAAATGTAATCGACAAACAAAGCTGCTTGAAGCTCTGTACTTTTTTCACCTATCACGCCCAAGCTGATTACATTTTTTTTGTGATTATATTTCTATTACGTTACTAGAGCCTCGCACACTAACTCCCGAGTGTGCGATGCAAAATTAAAATGAGATACCCAGAAACTCGTTGCAGGTGCCTTGAAGTCGCTGACGCAAATTTTGAGGAATGTATTTGGAAAAGTGTTTGGAGGGAGACCAAATACATTTGGTTGTATTTGTATCTTGTACTTAAATGCTTTTTTGGAAATGTAATTAGATTTGTAATTAAATACATTTTTGACAAACTATTTTGTTTTTGTATTTGGATACATATTTTCATGTATTTACCCATCCGTGGTTGCATGCAATGCCAATGACCGAGAAGTGCCCTTGTTCCGGTGTAATCTCGGAGACAAAAGTTGTCTTTTTCTTTTAATCTCTCCTCTGGGAAACTTGATGATGTATCACGTGGATTGCATTGTTGATGAAGCCATGGGGAGGTTTCCCCTTAGTGGTGGTAATCAAGAGCGGCCCATGCGTTGTACACAAGCGCTGTGTGAGCACTCGATTTGGACTCATAACTATCAATGCCTTGATTGACATTTGGTTAGTGGTTCATGTCCAATCGCAGCGATGATGGGAATTGCCAAACCCTAACAATCTGTGGGACTCTGCACGTGTCCTGTACTTTGCCAACCTTAGGATCATTGGTGGCATAAAATCGGCACCAGATCACGCGGCATGTTTTTTTATTGCTGCGAGTTGAAGGGTAGAACACTGCTTATTTTTCTTTATTTTTCTCTGCAACTGCCATTGCATGGACAGAAGAAGCTGGCGCATGTTTTGTAAAATATGAACCTAAAGAGTTAATTCTAAGCACTATTTACTGCTAATGCGAAAGAATCGTTGCACTGCCCCTTTATGCCTCACAGGTGTTTTAATGTTTGTGCTCAGTGTCACCTCAGATACCAAGGTAAACCAGGTCCAATCGCTGGCATAACATTCTCGGTGTTTACCGATGAAATTGGCCCGTAACACAGACCGCACCACTCTGTCACAGGATGCTGGGATGTACATTTCCATACTGAAGCAAAAACCCGGCTAGCGTTGCAGCCAGGGACTTTTTAATACCCCAGGCCATGTTTAGTGATGCCGGAAAAGGCACTTAATTCCAGGCTGCTTTACACACCGATGCTGCCCTCATAGTCTGCTCACAGCTGGTTGTCTTGATCGGCTACGTTAGGCTTAGGCTACGTCTGCTTCATACCTGTGATCTGCTTTATCTGCCCGCTGTCACGGCTGACTTTCGATACGATTGGCGCACCAAAAAAATGTTTTAATGTGCACGCACAGTTACAACACGACAGAACACACGAATGCATGCCAAAAGGGGAGTTTCTACGGCCTTCTCAGCCCGGAGCCATTCTCAACTTTCGTGTATACGGCGCCTGGTACGCTCGCTTTCCAAAGCCGCTCGGGAGACTCATCGCCCCTGTGAGGCAGACCAAGTTCTAGGCTGTATAAACATACCACACAACCCAATTTTATAACGACTCTGCTCCAGACGACGTTCTCGGTGAGACGTCTAAAACGTCCGGTACGCGTCGACTTCCTGCTGGCCAGGCCAGTCTTGGGGTCCGATCTCACCCGTTCGACACCGATTCAGTGGATGCCACCATGTAAATAGGGGGCAACTGTGTTGCCGTAGCAATGATATGGTAGCACCACTAGCAGAGGAGCGGGCGTTCGACGGTGAGACGTGTTCAGCAGCTGCAGTGGTGCTTTTTCGCGTGCGAAGCTGTGGCGGCGGAAACACACATGGACGGAACTTTGGTTCGTCGAGTTGACACGTTTAGGGTGACGTTGCATGAGGGCTGGGGAAGACCTATAAAAGGTCGTCTAGCTGTTCTCTGTTTCTCATAGACCTTTTTAAAAACAGGCTTCTGGCCTGTTCCATTTTCAGTGTTTGTGAGTATGGCGCGCGAGTTGCTCGCTTTGCAAAGTGATGAACATGCGCGTGCTGGGTTGGGGAGATCGCACGCTGGGCTGAGAGCTTGTAAATACTGGAATGGTGTATATAGTTCAGAAAATAAATTTAACATCTTCTATCGATCACACTGCAGGCTGGCTTCCGACGAGAAACCTTCCCGACTTCTAGAAGGTGCAACCACTGCACTTTTTCACAAAATCGACGAGGTATTGACATCCTGCGTCTAATCTACCACGAATCAAAATATTGAGTTCGGGGTGGAAAGAAATCAAGATGATTCATATCGTTATTTAAGCCATACCTATTTTACTATGATAATATTTCGCAAGAACGCATTTGTCACAAAAATTCTTTGCCGCAAAACTAATATCGGAAATAATTTTTTATTATTTGTCCATAATTTGATATTATCCATGTAAATTTATCTGGCTTTTAATAGTAATAAAAAAAGCAAGCAAATAAAAGTGCATAGCGTAAGCGAAATGCGGTGCTCTTCTGTGCTAATCGGAGAGGTGAATTTTGTTTCTACCACTTCTTTCGTCAACTAAGTGGCATCTATATGCAAGCATATCAGAATGGGTTATTTATCTTACGTCGGTCAGTACAGGCACATAGCCAGGACTTTGGTTCGGGGGGGGGGGAGGGAGGGAGGGAGGGAGGGAGGGAGGGAGGGAGGGAGGGAGGGAGGGAGGGAGGGAGGGAGGGGGAGGGGGAGGGGAAGGGAGAGGGGGGAGGGAGGCGAGGCTTGCTTATGACAAAATGCTGTATGAGGGGAAGGGAGGAGAGGAGGTCCCAGCAGAGTGAAAAATTTGGGGGGGGGGGGGGGGGCGGGCCCCATGGGCCTCCCCCCTGGCTACGTGCCTGGGTTAATATATGTGTTTTGTCTTACATGAGCTTGCCGCTTTTTTATGAGATTATGCCACCGCTTGGCGCAGTTTAATACCAAAAGAAAAGTCACCGTCATTAAGCAACTTGCGTAGTGTTCTTGAGCTCAAAAACCATAACTTTTTGTCGCTGAATTTTTTTTTTATTGGCTCTCACTTTTGGTGCAGTTGAGATACCTTTAATACTTTTTTTGGAACCGGCCTCAGAAGCAATGGCAACAATAGCACCGTGTGCACAAAACTAATAATAATAATAATAATAATAAAAACAAGATTGACAGGAAGGAGGGAGCTGTTCTCTCTGGGTTTTCATATGAACTTGGGAGTTGTTATTGGTTTTGTTTCGCTAAAGTATTATAGCAAATGAAAAACTTTATCAATAACCAAACAAATCAAGCTCCTTTTGTTCTAGTATGACGTGGTTTATATCAAGAAAAAAAATGTTTTGAACCAAACTGCACTTTACGATATAATCAACAGCGAATTTTTCTTCTACAATGGTGTCAGTGTTTTCGTGGATTGAAAAATGAATTTCCCGTGTTTAAAAAGACTAGTGAAAAACAAATTACTTTTTTTTTTTTTAGGTCAGCCTTGCCAATACAGTGGCTAACACGATCGGGAGACCAAATTTCTTGCGTTGTACGGCGTGGGTCCATCGTTGTCACTGCCCTACAAAATGACAACGAGCTGAAAAACTATGAAACTGTCCCCACAACATGACACATAACTATTAGAGCACTTAACGACGAAGCAGTTCACACTGTCAACCCAGTGCAACCGCACCGCTCAGGCTTCAATTCGTACCAAATGTATGTTGCCTGGTTTTGTTTCATTGGTGTTCTCACAGCCTGCCTTCAATAACAGCTGCGTTGCGGAACGGCGGTTACGTCGCACGGAGTGTATTGGCCGAGATATTAAGGGGACATTTCGTAGCTATGCCTACTTCTCTTAAACTTCTCTCCATACTGTATGGGGAATACGGATACATCCTCATGCCCGTTATAACCTCCTTGTCTGCGGCAAGGAGGTTGCATGGTGCATGGAACTAAACATTAACAAATGTAAACTTATGCGTGTCTCTAGAAAAAATATTAACTCGCCCGTCTACTCTCTTAATAATGTGCCTTTGGACGCCGTATCTTCTTATAAATACCTTGGTGTCCACATTTCATCTAACCTAACTTGGAGCGTTCACACCTCGTACGTCATTAATAACGCTAACCGCATGCTGGGTTATCTTCGACGTAACTTTGCTAAAGCACCTTCATCCCTAAAACTACTACTCTACAAGGTCCTCATTCGCTCTAAACTCGAATATTCCGTTTCGGTTTGGGATCCAAGCCACGAAAACTTGATACACTCACTTGAAATGGTTCAAAATAATTCTGTTCGTTTCATATTGTCTAACTATAATAGAACTGCAAGCATCAGTACAATGAAATTTAACCTTGATCTGCCATCCCTAACATCCCGCCGCAAAATCTCTCGTCTTTGTCTCTTTCACAAACTGTTTCTTCATCCCTCCTTGCGCGCCGAACATATTTTACCCCCCCAATACATCTCATCTAGATTAGATCATGTTCATAAAGTCGGGATTCCATCGTGTAGAACTAATGCTTTTTTTCAGTCATTCTTTCCTCGCACATCAGTGGAGTGGAATGGCCTTCCCGCCCCGACAGCAACAATCAAAGATCCCCAGCAGTTCAAGAACGCCATAGCTAACATTGTATAAATAAGAGTCAATTTACTGTACTAATAACCACTGCATTTTTTAAACTTTATACTTATACATTGTACCCACTCCCCTCTCTAATGCCTTTGGCCCTGAGGGTATCTGAAATAAATAAATAAATAAATAAATAAACTCTGAGTGGCAAGAAGCTGCCAACCGTTTATTTATGTTTGTTGAGCTTTTAATATGCAAACTTTTTATTGTTTTTTTTTGTTTTTTTTATGTCATTCCTCACATGAACAAATCTCCATGCTCCCTTGTGTGGGGAGTGCTCTATTGGTAACTATAAAACGCCAAAGCAACAAGATCAGTTCGTACCATTGAACACTTGATCTTCTGCAATCCCTCAGATCTGAACTCTCCGGCAGACGTGAGGGTACATAAATTCATAATTTGCATTTTAAAATCTAAAACGATTGCAGGTGAAATCCCGCTTACTTAATCCATCACAAAAGACAACAACCAGCATGGAGTACCTTAGACCTTTTCGTCTCCGTAGCTGCCCGGCCAGCGGATTGTATGTGCTGGTGCACTTGCTGCCATTGGTTGCTTCAGTTTGGTTGTTTTTTTGTTTCAGCACGTTCGCGGCTGTGTTGGTTTTTTGTGTCATTTTTCGCTTAATGTCCCGATACAAATGTGTCCGTTGTAGCACACCAATAGAGCAGTTGTACTGAGTTATTTTGAGAACTTTAAAGTGGTTGCGAGTCATAACTGTAGACTTCTTTTACGAACACTTTATGCATCTTGTCATGCTTGTCATTCATCTTGGTCAGGTTCGGCGGCGAAATAGCTGAACTGAAGAGAGGGAAGGATTCCATCATCTATGGGTGTACCCGACTCTAGTTTCCAGAAAAAAACAGACTAATGAAGAGGCTAATGCATAGATGCATAGTGAAGGAAGCAGATTGACGACCTGATTAACAATGCGCTGCATTGCGAAGAACACATGAAATCGCAAGTTCACTACTGACTTTGATTTTTGCAGACACCAACCTTTTTGTGAACTGTATATGCTGGAAATTTCTCCTCTCATATATTCTCGAACCTTTCCTCCCGCGCAGTGAAAAATGCCGTCAGCTCGCAGCTTCCCCGCTCCTGCCAGCTCCTTCTGGGGCGCGCTGAGAGTGTCGTGGGCACCCCCAGGAGCGTCCCTTCGGGGATGCACGATCGCCCCACGGAGCTGGAGCGAGGCCAGGGCCTCTCCGGACTCCTCCTCCCGTCCGTGCTTCCGGACGGAGTGGAAGTGCGCCCCTTTGTCGTGACCGAAGCCCACGTCGTGAGGCAGATCCATCACGGCGTCACCGACGACCTCAAGCGTCTGGTCGGCCTGCCGGTCGGAGAGGAACTGGAGCGCGTGAAGTGTGCGCTCTTCTTCGTCGGCAATAACCTAGACGACAGCACGTGCTGCGCCGTCTGCAACATCCTCGACGAGTTCATGCCGGGACGTTTCGCGGTCGGCGGCAGCAGGATGGACCCCCTCCTCGCGTGCTACACGGTGGACTACGTCTTCTGTGCCGGTCTCTGCTTCTTGGGCGACAGGGTCCGGGCGGCGTCCGTCGTGCTCTCCGATGCGGTCCGAGGAGCGCAAGCCGTCGAGACGGAGCTTCGGAGGCTGAGGACGGACTGCGGGTTCGGGGGCTGGAAGGCGGGAGCGACGGTGGGGTTGGTGTTTGCCGACGCGGTGAGGGGCGCCGAGTGGCACGGGGCGCCCAACGTGGAAGCGGACGCGTTCGCGAGGGTGTTTCCGGGAGTGCCGCTGGCGGGGCTTTTTGGCACGGCGCTTGTCGGGAGCCAGTGCCTCGTGAACTGGTACACGCCGGATTACCCCAAGACGGTGTTCGTGTTGTTGGGCCTCGGGGGGAAGTGAAGGTGAACTGTGCTTTAACGTCAAGTGTGTTACATGGTTGGCTTCCAGAGGTTTTCGGTAGCGCACTTCCCGTAAAGCCGTGATCATGCTGCTAATACATGGTATGAATGACTGTCTGCGGACATGTTCGAGGCTTGCTTCTTGCTCGTATGGCAGTCCCTGTCTTTACACATGTTCGAACGTGCGTATGAAGCAACGTGCTTTGAACGTGCTTGAGACGTGGGCGTGGGTACTTCAGATGCAGCGAACACCGAGTCTCTTGCACGATGTATGATCAATGTGACTGCAGCTTTAAGGGAAGACTGTCGGGCAAATATTTATTGGACGCTAGTGCCCCATCGGGGGGTTTATTGCTACTCGTGTTCGCGGGGATTGGGTCCCAGCTGAACGGTGACGCAGCTCTCTTGTCATATCTGTGCCTGCGAAGGCCTCCGGCAGGTGGCCGAGCATCTAATGCTGCGGCCTTGTTGTCTGGTAGGAGTTGAGCTAGCATTCTCGTACACGTAGGGCACGTGGGCAGGAGATCATTTGGAAGGGAACAAGAGTATGCTTAGGAGAAGAGGGGGAGACACAAAGTAGCTGCTTCAAAGTTGAGGTGTGCGATCGAAAGAGAACACGGTGAAAAACAGTGCTCAAAGGGACGTCATTTTTCCCGCTAAATTTAGCGAGAAACTGAATTTGTTCATAGATTATGTGACACCTAGTCACGTGACGTCATTTTCCCTGCTAAATTTAGCGGGGAAACTGAATTGTAGGAGGAGAAGGGGAGCGGAGGAAATGGAGGACGGGCACACCTTCCCCTCTTCCTCCTCAAGAGCTGCGCTCTAATTTCGTATTACAGAGATTTGTAAACGTCTATCACTTTTTTGTTAAAGTTTTTGCTAATAAAAGTAAGTTTGGGTTCCACTCCAATCGCTCTGCTCCTGCAAAGATGCCATTGTTCAGGATGTTTGATATACCGTCAGGGGTGTACCCAGGGGGGGGGGGGGGGGGGGGGGGCAGGGCAGGGCCGGATTTAGAGGGGAGGTCCGGACCCCTCTTGATTTCTGCTTGTGTAAATTTTAGGGCGTAAAACGAAGGAGAGGGGGAGGGGGTTCCTAAGCATATGGTACGCTGACCAACACCTGACCCCCCCCCCCCCCCCCCTGGAAATTCCTGCATCCGCCCCTGGGTGGGGAGGGGGCTTACGGGGCTTCTGCCCCCCCCCTTTCCCTTCTCCGCACCCCAAGTCATGGACATTCCAGTCACCTCAGCCCCCCCCCCCCCCCCCCCTCCCCCCTCCCCCTGAAAAAAAATTCCTGGCTATGCCACTGCATACCGTTAATGAGCTCCCATAATAGATATTCAACCTGCTAGCTTAAACAAGTTTATGTTTAGTGTTGCGCAGCACATGGTTAGCCTTCCTTTGAGAAACGCTGAGGCTAGTTAATGCGTTGGATGAGAAATTGAGGTCTCTGCAAAAAGTATTAACATGCGTCAAGCAGATAACACAAATCAAAATAATCGAAACGGTCAGGAGCGGGGGATCGAGCTCGGGGTCACTGCTGGGTTTTGCAACACGCGAGTCTGCCCCACGTGCCCCGAGCTATGGTATTGCTACACTTTCGACCATAGATGTGGCCCATTCACTAGCATAACAGATGCAATATGCTGAAAAGGACTGGAACTACCTTGAGACTTGGTTACAATGCGCATTTGACGCTACTTGCAAACACAAGCGTATCAAAGGTGTTAATTTTTGCAATACGAGCGTAACTTTAGATACTGGATATAAAATGTGCATTGGTGGGAATTTCTATGTGCAAGAAATCAAATAGAAATTCCCAGCAATGCACGTTCTATATCCAGTGACTAAAGTTATGCTTGTATTGCAAGAATAAACCCCTTTGATGCGCTTGTGTTTGCAAGGAGCGTCAAATGCGCCACTGGACAAGCGCATGCCTCGTGCGGCCCTTGGAAGCGAATGGCGGTAAAACGCTTGCCCATGACGTGTCGCGCGTCCCCACTTCAATACAAGCACGCATTTTATCCACGGGGCGTCGAATCTTGATCGGTATCCGAGCGTGCGAAGGCACAAAGACGCAGTACTTCGGCGTGCTAAGGAAGCTTTGATCACGCTGCGAGACCGGCGAAACTTGCTTCCGAAGAGTTGTGCCGTTTACCTGCGGCACTGCGCCTTCGTAATAATTTTCATGTGTTCCTGACGGCAAGTATCAACGCTTATACAGGGTCTTAAAAAACTTCTTCGGTGAATGACGACGAACGAGTAGAAAACGTGTCTTCAGCACGCTGCCGTCAGCCTCTGCAACGCTAGCAGAAACGTGATTTTGCCACGAGTAAGATGGCCGTCCGGTGGCTTCACTCGCGGGAGCGGGTGAAGCCGGTGTAGGACGCCGATATCACTACCCCTCCGCTTAGACTACGGTAGTGGTTATGGCGTACGCCAAAATCAATACCGTAGTCATTTCGGCGTACGCCATAGTCAATACCGTAGTCTCTTTCGCATACCCCAAACACACTACCCTTACGCCAAATTCAATACCTTGAATAACGTCGGTTCAGCAGGGGTTGAGCCAATCCGTATTTCGCTAAAACTGGCGGAAGTAACTTTCTGCAGCAAAATACCCTGATTGTTTGTTGTTGTTTGTATGAGCAGCGGAACGCGCGCGGCAGGCGTTGTTAATTTTCATTACCGTTGATACGACTGACGGCGCACAGAGCTGAAGGGCACAAGCAAGGAAGCTTGGAGTGATTCTGTGTCAATGTGATTTGACGTCGCTTCTTTCTGTTTCTTCAATCATGGTGCAAATGCAGGTGCCCGACTCCCGAACGATTCGAAGGCAAGAGTGGTAGCCCGCCTATCCGCTGGTCTTTCAATCGCATGCACTGTCGTCATTTTGGGCGCAGCGGAAGAAAATAAGACGCTCACTATTTTAAATAGCGTGCGATCGGCCTGTCTAGGTTCTGGCGACACCGTTTCAGGCTGTAGATGAGAAAATTTAGCCACTACAGTACGACTGCTAGCCTGGGGTCTGTGCCTCACAACAGATCGAATCGGGTGGGGGTGGGGATCCCTGGCAGCGGGACCTTTCGCTGTACGAGCTGCGGTGCGCTAACACGCTCGACCTCCGATACCCCCTTGGGTCACAGCGCTTGCTGAAAGAAGTTTGGATCGTTTTACGCAGATTTTGCAGTGCGTACGAGACGCACAACAGCTACGTACTACGTCCTAGATGCCCAAACTGAGGCTCGCTACTTGTGCGCGGCTCTCGTGATCTGGGGAACAGTATGCTCGCTATGAAAATGTTGCAGTGAGAAGTACGGAAAAGTAATATTATAAAAGAAGAGTATTTTAAACTGGCTTGCATTGTCACTGAACATATGAAAATAAAACTGATTAGGAATGCCGATCAGATCGAGTGGAAATGTAATATATTGTGCTCAAGTTATGTGTGAAGTTGCGTCGGCACAGGAATTCAAACTTGTTGGCCCCACCCCCGCTTTTAAACTCTTCCAATGTTGCTGGCAGTTTTTTTTTTAAATTATTATTCTTATTCTTATTATTATTATTGTAACTTCAAAGGTCCCAACAGGGGCATTACATAAGGAGCGGGGGGGGGGGGGGGAAGTACATGAAAAATACAAAACATCAACATATAAATAGACAGGTGGCTTACACCGACAGGGCTGGTGAGTAATATAAACAGTGAGAACAAGTGTGTGTGAAATAAAACTGGTACATAAATACACTAGCTAAAAGAGTAATCGAAGCATTGCGGAACAAGACAGGGTCGCCTATTGCCGGGCAGAACCAGGGTAATCACCGACTCACACCAAGCATTCCGGAGCTTCCAGTCGGGCTCGGCGTCCTGAAAAGCGCTTCAGGTGCTCAAAAACAATAGACCCCCAAAGGAGCCCATAGAATTTGAATGGGTACCTACCCACTCCGTGGTAGAGGGCAACAAACTTGCTCACCAGCAGGCCTGCGCGCTGACTTACCGGGCCACAGCCATGGAAGAGGTGCAGGACCAACCCATGGTGACCTAAAAGGAAATAGTAGTTGCACTCTACTGCAAGGAAAGGCGAAGACTGCCAGCCCCGCATCCTAAGTTAGTGCTGGAGGAACAGGTAGCGTATAGGCAAAGTCAGTCGGGGTCCTTGCCCCACCCCCTTTTACTCAGTCGCATATGTTCCCCACTCAATACAGTGGGAACTGCCCAGTGTGCCAAGAGATAGGAACCCTCCGTCACAAAATAGGCGAGTGTAGACTCAATCAAGACCACCCACTACCCCACCCTTCCCCCTGTAGAGTGATGAACTTGCTGTCCATCCAGCCCTGCCCTGAAAAATCAGCTTCAATTGGTCAACAGGGGCCAGGCAGACAAGGCAGCATATAGGATCTCGTGAAGGGGGAAGCCCTTCCATCCGGCACAGACCACCGTGTTGAAATGCTCAGAATAAAAGTTTATTCTCTCTCCCTCTCTGATTGGTTGAAGTAGTTTGTGATCCGAGATATATGTGATATGGGGGGGGGGGGGGGGGGTGGTTTAGTCGTGACGATGCTCTTCTAGGAGGAAGTAGGAGTGAGTTATGAAGCATTGGATTATAATAGAACATTTTATGAAATGGGGGTTAAGCATGATATCTTATGGCGCGACTTATACAGCTGGAATTTCAGTGCAGAGACATTAGTTCTTCGGTAATGATCATTAAGAATCAACCTGGCTGTGCGATTTTGAACTGACTCAAGATGGTTAATGGGATAAATTTGATGAGCATTCCGAATTGCTGCTGCATACTCTAACTTTGGTCCAACGTAAGTCTCATATGCCATTTTCTGGAGATGAGATGGTGGCGCCTTCAGATTTCTTTTGATGTACCCGAGAGTGTGTGAAGCCTCTGCTGAGTCTGTTTCAATGTGTTGCACCAAGATATTTATAGATGGAGGCAGGCAGAGATGATTAGTCTAGAGCCAATGGAATACGAAAAATATGGTGTTACATGTTTCCAAGTAAAGCGAAGTACTTTACATTTTGGCATGTTTAATGACATAAGTCATTTGAAATACCAGGCATGAATCAGGTCAAGGTCACTCGGAAGATTCAAATGGTCATCAGACAAAGTAATTTTG